TGACGTGCATATCAGAAAAAATCATGAAGTTCTTCGGGTAGCGCATGTGGAGCGAAACGAGTGGCGCCTCGACGCACTGCGAGATGAGAGTCCGTCGCCCGTGGAATTGGTAACGGGTCGTCGCGTCATCACCAACCGGGCCGTCGCTCTTCGGGCGACGAACCGCCGGATAGGTTATCAGGAATCATTCGTGAGGTCGGGAAAGGGCCATTGCCAAGAGCCTGACACTCGGATCACACGCAGGCTGATTATCTTCGGGGCGGATAGCGATTGGCTCATGATCTGCTTGTTGGAGGCCTCGTGACGATGTCTTGACATTGCATTGACAAACTGGAAGGACCGCCAGGAGGCGAAGTCGTGCGTCGACGAGCTGGCTAGCGTATGTGGAGATGAAGCTGACGCAGCGCTGCAAGAATGTTTTATCAATCATACCAGTTGAGCACGAAGGGCTGGTCGTTGCGCAAGTGGGGAAGATTGTTATCGAGATCATATGGACTTTATGCCCGGTCATGGCTAAACGATCCAGAGGAGAGATTTGGTGGCGTCCATTTGACAGATTGATTGCATGTTGTGTAAGTCCAGCTGTGTAGGAGGGTAGGGACAGACTGATATCGATTGAGTTGTAGTGTGTGGTAAGCTATTATTTGTGGGACCTTGGACCCTTGAACGAAGTAATCCACTACAAATGTGAACATGCCAACGGAATGTGGGTAGACAAAGGAATTTGATACGAAATGAACATTTGGCAGTATTCTGGCAGTAGAAACTATCGCCTAAGGTTGTAATCATACAGGAAGGCGGCGCGATCTAGCCCTTGAGTCGATAGACAAGCTCATCGCGTGGAGGTAGGTGCATCTGGGGTGTGGACACGATGGATATGCTCCGACGCTACCCTTGCCCCTGCACATCTCTTACCGAGCATCGCATGTACCACGAGACATCTTCGAATTTGGCCGCGACTGATACGACGTGTAAAGCATTCCTTGGCAGTCAGTGCCAGCTCATCGCTGCTTGAGTAACTTGAGAGGGGTTTTGCCGGCTGGACCACAGAAGAGGCGAGGAAGCTTTTCGTATTCACGTGGTGTCTTGTGAATCCTACGGAAAAGTTAAAAAGTTAGTGTTAGCAAATCCTCGGAGAGCCGCATGTATGCAGGTGTCGTTGGAAGCTGCAGCGCGCTATCAGTAGACTGTGGCTGCAATAGTCTTGATTCGCCAACGCAACAGGATATCTCTCGTTCCGGCTAGCTCGACGCAGGAGACGAATGACGGTGGAATCTGCAAAAACATGCGGATCCTCCGCAACGCTTCGGTCGCCGTATGATCCGGTCGCGAAAGTGTACACCGGTGGAGCCTGGAGGTCTTCAGTGTTCGTATGCCAGACAACCACGGATGTATGAGCGATGTTCCGAACTCTTGACCGAGGGGATGGCGGCTGCAATAACGGTGGCGGTGATTCTTGATAACGTGTCATGCAGTTCGACAAGTGGCTACTGTAAATCATGGCTGAATATTGTCGAGATGCGTGCGCGGAGACGGGAGGAGTCGAGCAAGACGAGCGACTAGACCCCTACGCTAAGGTATGGTCTGCCAAGCCTGTTCTTTCCCAAACTTCCACGAGCTTCCTCACGCGCTCACAGTCCGAAACCATTAGTATGCCCGGCTCCTACTTGGCATTGATTGGATCGACTGTGCTGCATACAAGCCCTATGTCTCTGTCAATCTCGACCATGGTCGCGACTCCCCGGAGCGGACCACTCACAGTGACAATACATACGCTAGCGACGGGCATACATGCTGTACTCTCTTCTGCACATGCAAGTGCGAAGAAATCGGTAGGATGCGAGGAGATTGTCAACATTTCACACAAGCAGAGCAGAGTAGTAAACTCTCGGGTGAGATGGAAGATTACTAGGCGCTATTAAATCATGGCTACGTACTCAAGTAATATGTCGACGCAGAACAGATCGCGTGCTCGATAAGACGTAATTGTTGATCTTGGGAAAATCGAGCTGCGGTTGGTCGGGCCTTCTGATGCCAGGGCGGTGTGGTGTGTTCAAGCTTATTCATGGATGAAGGTGTGATTTCGCCATCGCACGTGCGCTAGACTAGGCGTGATTGGAGCGTGGATTGCGTGACCGCTGCCCGTGGTAGTCACCACCCAACTTATTGTAGAATGCGTCACCTAGGGTTACACTTTCCCCACATACACCGTGCGGCCGAGACGACGTCCGGGGCGTCGCCTTCCTTATCTATAAAGGAATCCGTGCCCTCACTCCAACAAGAGTTTGCACACCACAAAGCTTCCTACCTTCACCTATTCTCCAGGTAACTGCTCGAAGCAATCAGTCCAAGATACAATATTACATATTCCATCCATTGCCACCACAATATGGCACCAAGTCTCTTGCTAGACCCAGAGTCGCCGCCCTCATCTCATGTCCACGCAGTCAAGCAACCCTTCCACCACGACGGGAGTATCTCGCTCAAGGACGCCCAGGCTTCTGTCGGCGACGACTTTTCTTTTTCTTCCACAGCCATGAACGGTAATGGTAACGGCAGTGTCAACAGCAACAATGGCTTTTCATCTGGCAATGGTTTCTCAGATGCTCTTCAAGACGGACGCGATTTCGTTACTGCACAAACTCTTCGTCAGCAATCTGAAAGCTATGCAACTCAGACTCGCACCATGGGGGACGGAAAGCGTCCCAACATCTTGTACATTATGGCCGATCAGATGGCTGCACCCATGCTAAAGTTCAATGACCCAGAGTCAGTTATCAAGACACCTCATCTTGATGAGCTTGCCAGGACCGGCGTCAACTTTGCGAGCGCTTATTGCAACTCACCCTTGTGCGCACCGTCTAGGTTCACCATGTGCAGTGGCCAGCTGCCGTCCAAAATTGGCGGCTATGATAACGCTTCCATCCTAAGTCCAGAGATTCCTACCTACGCCCACTACCTCCGCCGAGAAGGCTACGAGACTGCGCTCGCAGGAAAGATGCACTTTATTGGCCCTGATCAGCTCCACGGATTTGAGCACCGACTCACCTCCGACATCTATCCCGGTGACCTCGGATGGTCTGTCAACTGGGACAAGCCAGAGGAGCGCCAGGAATGGTACCACAACATGTCTTCGGTCATGCAAGCCGGACCTTGTGTGCGATCCAACCAGCTCGACTATGATGAGGATGTCATGCACAAGGTAGGAAACTTTGCACTCAAGTAGACGAAATCTTGCTCACACATACCTCCAGGCCCAACAGTACCTTTACGATTACGTTCGATCAGACCCTGAGACTCGGCGACCTTTCGCTTTGACCATCTCTCTGACCCACCCACACGACCCTTATACCATGATTCAGGAGTACTGGGATCGATATGAAGGCGTCGATATCCCTTTGCCCAAGGTTGAGATCGCACAAGAGAACCAGGACTCTCACTCCAAGCGTCTGCTCCAGACCATCGATCTGTGGGACAATCCTGTCCCGGATGAGGCGAAAATCCGCGCTCGCCGTGCCTACTTCGCCGCGTGCAGCTTTGTTGACGACCAGGTTGGCAAGCTTGTCAGGCTCCTCAAGAACTGCCAGCTAGACAAGGACACCATTATTGTCTTTTCCGGAGACCACGGCGACATGCTTGGCGAGAGGAGCTTGTGGTACAAGATGAGTTGGTACGAGAACAGTGCACGAGTACCGATGATTATCAACGGACCCAACATCGCGCCAAAGAAGGTTAATGAGTCGGTATCAACCATGGATCTTCTACCAACTTTTGTCGACCTAGCTGGTGGACAAGTCGATGAGCGCCTTCCATTGGACGGCTCTAGTCTTCATGACTACCTTGTTTCAGATAAACCAGGCAAGGATGAGGTATTTGGTGAGTACATGGGTGAAGGCACCGTCACGCCCACGTACATGATCCGTCGCAACCAGTGGAAGTTTACCTATTCTCTTGTAGACGGCCCACAACTCTACAATCTTGTGGAAGACCCGCAAGAGCTGCAAGACCTCGCTACCTCGACGGAGCCTCAAAACCAGAAGATGCTAGCCAAGTTTGAAGCCGAGGCGCGCGAGAAGTGGGACTTCAAGACCATCCACAACGACGTTGTGCGAAGTCAGCGCATGCGCCAGCTTGCTTGCAGCGCGTTGAAGATTGGCCGCAAGGAGTCTTGGGACTACCAACCGCCGGCCAATGACAAAGACCGCTTCATCCGTTCCCACATTCCTCTGGATGAGCTTGAACGTCGCGCCCGCTTCCCGATCGTGGATTATCTGGGCCGCGAGAAGTCAGCTTCAGCATCTCATCATGGTCTTGCTGGGGCCAAGGGCCAGTGAGAGTACGCTCCCGTGTTGAGCGCGCATGACGATTTCCTTCTTCGACCAATTTGTGTCGCTACTGGTGCTGGATGTCTCCAACATTTCAACACTACTTTGTAGCGTCTTCTCCTTATGTCTTCTAGCGACTCATGGCGTTATGAATTTACGGCGCGGGATGTGTACTGCCGAGCGCTCTGCATGCAGCGTGATCAGAATGAGCCGCATTAATGGTGTTTGGGAGCATTTGAAGGCGTGTCGTCTTGGCGATTTATCTGATATTCATGAGGCCCAGAGCGAGACACAGACGATGATCAGCCTGGCTATCTCTAACAAGTATGATAATAAAAACTTGATAAGTTATCTTCATCATGATGTAAAAAAAAAAAGAATATGCTACTATCGAGCGTTCTGGATTAAGTGTTGTGATATTTGAAAGAGGGGAGAGGTAATCGCGAGGAGCACGATTGGAAGGTTGCGATAAGCTAGGTTTCACCTACACGTGAGGTGGCGTTCGCCTCCACAAGCCGAGAGAGACCGACAGCGGAAGGTGCCCAGCAGTGACGCCTGTAACCAACTCGGTACAACACCAACCTCAGTCACAGCTACATAGACCACCTCTGCACAGATCCAGACGTCTGCTTCTGATCGACCACCTGCAGCTTTGTTCATCGCCCGCGCGCCATCATGTCTACTGCAGCCCGCCGCCGCTTGATGCGCGACTTCAAGGTACGCCGACAGTGCAAGCACAGCAAGCTCTGGATGCTTGCGAAACATGTTCAGCAGAGCACACAACTGACAGCAAGTACAGCGCATGCAAACCGACCCGCCTGCCGGCGTCTCTGCTTCTCCAGTTGCAGACAATGTCATGACTTGGTACGCTTCACCGCATCCACCCCGCACGCGACCTCGAGTATGGCGGACATGAAGCCACTTCCGTGCTTGGGACAGACAACAGCGGCATGCATACGCATTTTGAACTTTAAAACTGACATATACACAGGAATGCAGTCATTATCGGCCCCGCTGACACGCCGTTCGAAGATGGAACCTTCCGCCTTATCATGCATTTCGAAGAAGCGTATCCCAACAAGCCGCCGGGTGTCAAGTTCATCAGCCAGATGTTTCACCCCAACGTATACGGAACGGGCGAGCTGTGTTTGGACATTCTCCAAAACCGATGGTCGCCCACGTACGATGTCGCGGCCATCTTGACGAGTATTCAGAGGTACGTCAGAGGAGGGCGATGACTGGACTGTTAGCATGGTGCGGGACATGTACTGACAAGCGCAGTCTGCTGAACGACCCAAACACATCGTCCCCCGCTAACGTCGAAGCGTCGAACCTGTACAAAGAGAACCGCAAGGAATACACCAAGCGTGTGCGCGAGACAGTGGAGAAGAGCTGGGAGGATTGAGGGTGCGGCTAGAATATGAATATCACGACACGACGGCATGGGATGGAGTTATTACGGGACAGGGACAATGTCATATCTGTTACTGGCAGCTCAGTGGCTTTGATCTCGAGCTTTTCCAGCGTGGCGTTTGGCTCGATGGTTTATATCTTTCAGCGACGTAGCTAATATACGTCTGTTTTGGTTGGAGTCATTCACCGATGCCCAGTGTCTTTGTTGCTCCACTAATGCAGGGATTCCCGGATTGGTTGTCTTGGGTGCAATCAGCGCAGAGCCGCATGCTTCCGTGATTGATACTACGACTTGAGTAGATGCAAGCAGACCAGACTTGGATTTGGCAGTAAGCGAGGATTGCATGCTCAAGCATGCTCCAGGTCGAGTTGCGTCACAGGCGCTGGCTGCGGGGAGGAGGAAGGCGCGCTATGGGCATGCAGACCCTGGCCGATGTATCAACACAAGCCGAAGCCTGCATCTCTACAATAGGCCGGTTTCAACGCAACATCGACTCCCTCACCGCGCGCCCTCGTACTGCTGCCCTCTTTGTTTCTTCTGGTGCGCTTAGCTTGGGATCCCCGGCGTGCACCGAGACCGTTTCCGTGGCCGTTTCATCAGTTCCCCTTAACCATAGCGGGGCCTGTAATTACCCACCTCCACGCGCCGAGACAGTCAGGGACGTGACGGTGCCACAACATACCCTCCCGTTGGGGCTGCAGCGACACCTGCACCCAAAACGCGAGAGCAGCAAACAGAGCGAGGCCTCTGGGCCGCAACGCCTGAACCCCCAGCAATCATGTCGTGAGTAGCTCTGGCGATACCGGCGAAGAGGGGTGAGAGACACGGCTAACAAAATGGGCGACAGGAACACAATCAAAGGTGCGCCCCATACGACAGGTGTACCATTTCATGGAATGACGAGTACTGACGGTAGGACAATGTAGTGGTGGCGCGGTTCCGTCCGCAGAACAAGATCGAGATAGCCAGCGGCGGAGAGCCCATCGTTGAATTCAAAAACGATGACACATGTACGATCCAGGTACGGCATGCCAGCTCCATAGACACATGTCCAAACCAACCAACAAGAGTCGCTGACACCATGTGTGTAGTCGAAAGAGGCCTCTGGCGCCTTTACTTTCGATCGCGTCTTCGACATGAACTCCAAGCAGGCCGACGTCTTCGATTACTCTATTCGCCCCACTGTCGACGATATCCTGAACGGATACAATGGAACAGTCTTCGCTTACGGCCAGACTGGAGCGGGAAAGTCGTATACAATGATGGGTAGCGACATGGACGACGAGGTCGGAAAGGGTGTCATCCCACGTATCATCCAGCAGATCTTCGCAAGCATCTTGGCCTCACCGAGCAACATCGAATACACCGTTCGCGTCAGCTACATGGAGATCTACATGGAGCGCATTCGAGATCTCTTGGTCCCACAAAACGATAACCTGCCCGTGCACGAAGAGAAGAACAGAGGAGTCTACGTCAAGGGGCTCCTGGAGGTGTACGTATCGAGCGAGGATGAAGTCTACGAGGTTCTCAGAAGGGGTGGGTCGGCACGAGCCGTCTCAGCAACCAACATGAACGCCGAATCCTCACGATCGCATTCCATCTTTGTCATAACAGTAAACCAAAAGAACGTCGAGACGGGCTCATTGAAGAGCGGGCAGCTCTTCTTGGTTGATTTGGCCGGTTCTGAGAAGGTTGGCAAGACCGGAGCGAGCGGGCAGACCTTGGAGGAAGCAAAGAAGATCAACAAGAGTTTGAGTGCCTTGGGTATGGTCATCAACTGTTTGACCGACAGCAAAACACAGCATATTCCCTACCGAGACTCGAAGCTTACACGTATCCTTCAAGAATCACTTGGTGGTAACTCTCGGACAACTCTCATTATCAATTGTTCGCCAAGTAGCTACAACGATATCGAAACCCTGGGTACACTTCGATTCGGTATGCGAGCCAAGACCATCAAGAACAAGGCCAAGGTCAACGCTGAGCTCAGTCCCGCCGAGCTCAAGGCTATGCTCAAGAAGGTGCAAGGCCAGATGACGACGTTTGAAAGTTATATTGGTACGCTCGAAGGCGAAGTGACGCTCTGGCGTCAAGGAGAGACTGTTCCCAAGGAGAAGTGGGTTCCCCCTCTAGAGGTTGCTCCATCATCAGGCAAGAAATCAGCAGCAGCACCGCGTCCAGGAACGCCATCAAGACTGGAAGCAACAAGAAACTCGGAGACGCCAACGCCACGACCAGACTCGCGAATGGACCTAGACCGCGCAGGCACACCAAGCATACCTCTGGACAAGGACGAGAAGGACGATTTCTTGCGAAGGGAAAACGAGCTGCAGGATCAAGTTGCAGAAAAAGAATCACAGCTTGCCAAAGCTGAAGACCAGCTCAAATCTGCCAAAGAAGAGCTTCAGTACTACAAGGAACGGGACGCGAAGACAAACAAGGAGAACGAACGAATGACTATGGAGATCAACGAGATGCGAATGCAGGTTGAGAAGATTCAGTTCGAAAGCAAGGAGCAACAAATCACCATGGACGGATTGAAGGAGGCCAATTCTGAACTCACCTCCGAGCTGGACGAGGTCAAGCAACAACTCCTGGATGCTAAGATGAACGCCAAGGAGACGTCTGCTGCTATGGATGAGAAGAAGAGGAAGAAGGCTGAAGCCATGGCGCAGATGATGGCTGGCTTCGACCTCGGCGGTGAGGTCTTCAGCGATAACGAGCGAACGATACGAAAGATCATTGAGCAGCTAGATCAACTCCATGATATGAGCTCATCTGGCGAAGCGATCGCTCCTGATGCGATCAAGGATATACGAGAGAAGATTGCTGAAACGCAAGGCATTGTACGACAAGCCGAGCTCTCTCTTACTGCACGCAGTGAGGAGGACAGCACATATGCCAAGCGCCGCGAAGCACTCGAGGCACGCTGCGAGACCCTGCAAAGTCAATACGAGGAACTCCTTGAAGGCAACCTCTCAGAGCAAGACAAGGAGGAGCTCAAGGCACGACTTGCCGATGCCTACTCTGCCCGACAAGAAGGCAACCTCGAGCTAGTAGAGAGCCTCAAGCAGGATACTGCACGCATGTTAGAAGAGAACCAGAAGCTCAAGACCGAGAACGAAAGCCTGCAACAGCGCATCAAGAGTGGCGCCATTGCCAACGGTGTCGCAAACGGCATCAACGGCAAGACTGTACAACAGCAAATCGCTGAGTTCGACAACATGAAGAAAAGCCTCATGCGCGACCTCCAGAACCGGTGTGAACGAGTCAGTGGACCATCGAGACTATCTATCGCAGACGTCGTGCTAATAAACTACAGGTTGTCGAGCTTGAAATCTCCCTAGACGAGACGCGTGAGCAATACAACAACGTGCTCCGTACATCCAACAACCGCGCGCAGCAGAAGAAGATGATGTTCCTAGAAAGAAATCTCGAGCAGCTTACGGTTGTTCAGAGACAGCTTGTGGAGCAGAATAGCAGCTTGAAGAAGGAGGTTGCTATTGCTGAGCGTAAACTCATGGCGAGGAACGAGAGAATACAGAGTCTGGAATCTTTGCTACAAGACTCGCAGGAGAAGCTCACAGCAGCCAATCACCGGTATGTCATACTCACCCTTCAAACTACTTTGTCTTGGTACTAACAAGCCCGCTCACAGATTCGAAGCCCAACTCACAGCCGTAAAAGAGCGTCTCGAATCTGCCAAAGCCGGTTCTACACGCGGTCTCGGCTCCCCCGCTGGCGGCGCCAGTTACGCTGGTTTCGGCGGCGTCGGCAGTCGTATTGCTAAGCCTCTTCGTGGCGGAGGTGGCGGACCTGTGGCTGATGGGCCTGTTCTTCCTGTTATTGGTAATCTGCAGAAGCAGGACGGTGACGGAGGGGAGGCTAATAAGGGAAAGAGGACGAGTTGGTTTTTCAACCAGCGGTAGGGGGGATGTGACGAAGACATGAATGGAAGGTGGGATGGATACGAGAAGGCACTTGAGGGTGACGGACTTGGAATGGGATGGGCGTAGGGATTATGGTGGAGGACAGGGTGTTCATGGTGCTCAACGATGGACGAGGAATGGGATGGAATGGGACGGGATGAAGAGCATGCTGAATTGATTCATGCACGCGAACTCGGTTCTTTGGGGCGGGCGTCTTTGGCTTCGCTGCTGCCGCGCTGTTTTGCGTAACCTTTATACCATAGATTCATTATCTTTGAATACCTTGAGAGGGAGTATCCACGCATCGTTCCCCTGATCAGACTTCCCTCTTCTCCTTCTAAATCATGTAATGCGTATCAGTTGACGTATAGCTAGGCAAGGTTACTTGATCGTATAGGCTACTTGGAAGATCGCCTGTATCTTAACGCAATCCGAACCCCGTCAATCCGCACCAACCCAAGCTCACAGATGCATCACGGAAGATAGCAGCCGCTTGCCAAGTCCACCAGTTCCACGTTCCACACTGCGGGGTCATCGAGTTTGGTTTACCGGTAACATACTAGCTACACGAGTAGCTATTTCTTCACGATGTCGCTAGAATCGAGTCAGTCTTGACATGCGCCACCCTGGGCCCAGATCATCACCACGCTAAAGTTGCTATCAATTCCCCGCACTCACTGACGGCACTACCCCGGATTTCGCTTGTATTAGACACGATAGTTAGGGTGAGTGGGTCGAATGTGGGCTCGAGATGCGCTTTACTGGGCAGCTGAGATGCGTCAATTGTGCTTTTGAGGAAGCCAAGCTGAAGGGATGGAAAGACATTTCCAGGAGTGTGGGGTCGACATGGGTCAGCTTGTGCTAGGAGAAGAGAAAGCAGGGATGGATGCAGATATAGGACGGGACCTGTCTCTGTTGTTTGGGGGGGGGGGTATAGAAGACATCCGTAAACTCAACATATCTTCCTAGCAATCGTTCAACCAAGCTTAATAAAAACAAACACAAACGGCTGAATTTATGGCTTCGGATACTATCCACCCCGACTATGACAAGGAAAAACAGCAAGTCGGTCATCACATCGAACATGCAAACACTCATACCACCAACGACTCTGCCTATGACCTGCAGCAAGAAGTCACTCTTTCGGGTGTGGATATGAAGAATAGCCATGCACTCAAGGGAGACGATTCAGATGGCAAGGTAGAGTGGAGTGTGCGAAGTATCTTCGCTGCCATCTTCCTTGCGGCACTATATACAGGTCCGTCTCCTTTCCTCATCTCCCCAATACCATTCAAAGTATCGAACAAAAGATATATATATATATATTAACACTCGGCCTTTGCAGGCTCCCAGGTAATCCTGTACTTTACCGGCGGCTCCCTTTCCTTCATCGAAGAAGATCTCGGTCTAGCACGTGGATCTGCCTGGCTCCCCACTGCTAACATTCTTGCCATTGCCGCTGTTTGCCCGTATGCAGGCTACCTTCAGGACCTCTTCGGCAAACGCTACATTGCTCTTTTCGGGTCGTTTTGCATCTGTCTGGGATGCGCATTGATGGGTAGTGGACACAGCTTTGGACAGTTGTTGGCTGGTATGGCAATTTCCGGTGCTGGGGCTGCCACAGGGGAATTGACAGGACTTGCTGGGTATGTATACGATAAGACGAGGGCAGATCGTTACAGAACTGGACTGACATGGTGACTTAGGCTTGCAGAAGTAGTACCCGTCAAGTACCGGGGTTACTCTCTTGCTCTCGTTACGGCTTTTGTCTTGCCATTCTGCCCATACCTACTTTACGTGGAACTCTGGTCGCACAACGACGACGGCATCGGTTGGCGCTGGGGACCTTGGTGCGCGCTCATCTTCAACGGTATCGTTGGTATCGGTCTCGCCTTGACATACTTCCCTCAGAACCAGTCGCGCGGCGATGGCTTCTCGCGACGAGCAATCTTGAAGCGTATAGACTACATCGGTGGGGTTCTATCCATCACGGGACTCACTTTGTTCCTCGTAGCCCTTCAGTCTGGCGGCTACACACACCCCTGGGCCTCCGCCTATGTCCTGTGTACCATGCTCATCGGTCTAGCTCTAATCGCCGCTTGGGTGGTCTATGAAGCCAAGTACGCCCCTTACCCCATGGTTCCTGGCGAGCTCTTCAGCGGCCAACGCATCGTCGCTCTCGCATATATCGTCGCTTTCTCCGCCGGCATGAACTTTTTCTCTATCCTAAACTTCTTCCCCATCACCTTCAGCAGCGTATACACGCCAGTACCCGTTTCTATTGGACTTCGCGGCTTGGGTCCTGCTCTCATTACAGCCGTCGGTGCAATCTTTTTCAACGCCGCACTGTCTCGCTTTCCAGGTCACACAAGAGAAGTACTGTTGTTAGCTGTGAGCATTATGACGGGATTTGCAGGAGCACTAGCGTGCATGACTCCGGACAACGAGCGTGTAGTCTTGTTTCTGGGATCCATGGCTGGGTTTGGTGTGGGTGGCGTACTGGTTCCTGCTGCGACAGTTGCAATGCTCGTTTGTCCCGATGCGCTTATCACCACTGCTGCTGCCCTGTCGCTGTCTATCCGTACGGTTGGCGGAAGTATCGGGTACTCCATCTACTACAATATCTTCGCAGGAAAACTGACGACCAACTTACCCAAGTATACGGCGCAGTACGCGATCCAAGCTGGTCTTCCAGTGGAGAGTGTGGAGGCCTTTGTTGGCTTGTTCCTTACGGTGCCGGAGGAATTGGCTACGGCGGATATCGTAGGTGTTACACCAGCTGTAATCCAGGGCGCCACGATAGGAACGCGGTGGGCATACAGCGAGAGCTTGAAGTATGTTTGGGTAAGTGCATAGCGTTTTTTCGTCGTCCTTCCTGTATCACGGAGCTAACATAGCCGGACGTTCTAGTTTACGAGTATCGCTTTTGGCAGCATAGCGATTGTGTGCACGCTTCTACTTCCGAGTACCAAGAAGTACCAAACGAATCGCGTTGCTGTGCGAATCTGATTTACCAAGACAGCACATGAAATGGAGTAACTTGGGGATCGGATTTCGAGTAATGCGCCCACAAGCGCGACATATATGCGAGTCCTTCTCGGCACTCGCTGAACGCGGATCTTACAATAGGCTTCATATGCATTCTTTAATATGAATTCCTTCCCGTGCAAATCGTGAGACTGAGAGTGGCGGAAACTCCCTGTCCATCTTCAGAACGCCTGCTTCTATCATTGGGCGCGTCACTTTGTATTCGCATCGTCCGCGATCAAAGCCTCGACGTCTCGTTCCATAAGCCAGCTGCGAACACCCTCCATGACCTTCTCCAGTGTTTGGCCACCTCCCATCACGTCGTCTAGATCATGCACGGTGGTTCCACTCCTATGATCAGTAACTCGCTGCTGGCCCCAATTATAGGTCCGCACCTTGTCACCGCGACCCATCTTCGCCACGCCAATAACGCTTCGTCGCATGTTCGCCATCTCCTCTTCGCGCTTTTCTCGTCTTGATTGGGCAATGCGTGAGCGCAGAAGGGCCCAGGCCTTTTCTTTGTTCTTGTGCTGGGATCTAGAATCTTGCATCGCGACGACTGTGTTTGTGGGGATATGCGTTAGCCGAACGGCTGACTCTGTCTTGTTGACGTGCTGTCCACCGGCACCGCTCGCCCGCATGACTTCCAACTTGACCTCCTTCACGTCGATGTAGTAGTCGCTCTCGGGGTCGTCGAAGTCCTGCTCCTCTGCAGAGTTTTCTTGTAGACTAGGTAGCACGTGTACAGATGCCGCGCTCGTGTGCGTACGCCCTTTAGTTTCAGTAGCGGGCACCCGTTGAACGCGATGTACACCTGCTTCACATCGGAAGACGCCATATGCGCCGTCGTTCTCCACCTCGATGATCGCTTCGGATAGCGGTACTCCAGCCTCAGTAGTGCCGTTCACGTTTTCGTACTTGAGGAGGTTTGTGCGAAAGCCGTTTCGGTTGCAGAAGGCAGAATACATGCGGAAAAGGTCTCCAGCGAATATAGCTGCTTCTGAACCGCCAGCACCAGGTCGTATTTCCAGAAGACATGGTAGATGTGCGAAGGGGTGTACGGGTACCAGAGAAGTGATTAGGTTTTGTGAAGCATTCACGAGCTGCGCTCGTGTCTCCCCAAGATCGTCGGAAGCGAGTGATCGTAGTTCGGGGTCGGTTGAGGCGTCGTGTATCATCGAAGTGAGCTCTGTCACAGACTTAGTCCATATCAGCTACTCTATTGCTCCTGCAGGCTGCCGTATGGTGCTCACCTCATTCGCTTTATCCCACTCCCCTAGTGCGTTCACGATGGGGCTGTATTCGCCCAGCTTCTTCGCAGCGCGCGTGTCGAAGCCATTGGAGAGTTTTTCAGTCAACTCTTTGTGCTCTGTAACAATTGCGCGGGCTCTTGAGAGCAGGGCTGGTGGTATCGACTCAGATGTTGCAGCTATGCAATGTTAGTGAATTCCGCAAAATCGGCAACCATAACACACACCATTACTCTGGAGGCGGATGCTGCGTTTCAGCAGCGGGCGGCTGATGCGCGATAAGCAATTGCGACATATCCAGGATGTTGTGAGCATAGTCGTCGAGATATGTAAACTTCGCATCTGATGAATTTGTCGATGTTCAACGCGTTCCGATCGGCTCGGAACGTGTGCACGTGACACTTATTACTCCATCCCGGCAGATGTCAACGGACTACACCGCTTTACCACCTTCCTCTTACAGAGATGTCATGGCGATAGTCGGTGCCGCTGCGTTATGCTCCGAGGCGATTGTCGAGCGAAATCGGCAACCCGAACCGCAATAACTATCTCCGGGGATAACCGTGGGCCACTACTTAGTCCACGGGTAGGTATACATGACAGCTTCCCCATACCCCACTCTGGCATTGAAGCTGGTGTGTTCGACTACCAATGCCTACCCCACGACGAAGCAAGAGGACCAAAACCCACCACGAGCCTGAAAAAGAGCAGCCAGCAGAAGCCAAGATGGACTTCATCAATCTGGGTACTCACAATGTCTATCCCCATCCTGAGCCTCAGTTTGTACACTTTGCCAGTCGACGTTCGGTCGTACATAGCACCAAAGGCATCGTATCTTGCACGCAGCCGCTTGCGGCTGCTGCTGGAATTGAGATTCTGAGGAAGGGTGGGAATGCGGCTGTATGACGTAATCTATCACCAGTTCCGTTCAGTACTGATAGCAATCAGGATGCAGCGGTGGCTGTCGCAGCGGCAATCAATGTTACAGAACCAGGATCAACAGGTATTGGCGGTGACATGTTCTGCCTCTACTACGATGCGAAGACAAAGAAAGTATCTGCCATGAACGGCTCCGGACGGACGGGTGCGGATGTCACGCTGGAAAAGGTCAGAGAGGACCTTAATCTCGCAGAGGGACAGAGCGGTCAAATTCCCATGGATCATGTACATGCGGCCACAGTTCCTGGCGCGGCAGCAGGATGGGTCGATTGCGTTGAGCGGTTCGGCAGCGGAAAGGTCAGCATGGAAGACGTGCTTGCGCCTGCCATCGATCTCGCAGAGAATGGTTTCCCGGTCTCTGAACTGTCCGCTACTTTTGTAAGCTCTAATATGCTCCGTTATCAGGTGACGTTCTGACAATTTGAAGTGGAAGGCTAGCGAGAAAGACCTCCTGAAAGCATCCCCTAACGGCCGCGAGATGCTCAAGGATGGCCGAGCACCCAAAGCTGGAGAGATCATGAAGAATCCAACGATTGGTAATACCTTTAAACTCCTGGCCAAGCACGGAAAGAAGGGATTTTACGAAGGAGAAGTAGCTGAGCAGCTCGTAAAAGTGGTGCAAGATCTTGGTGGCTATCTTACTCTAGACGATCTCAAACATCATGCAGAGACTGGATCCGAGCCGGTTGACCCAATTTCGCTGAAGTATTACGGTCAGAAGGTTGGAAACAGGCCACCACCTGAGGGCGGCATTGAGTTATGGGAACATCCACCGAATGGCCAGGGAATCGTTGCTTTGATGGCTCTAGGCATCATCCAGGAGCTGGAGAGACAAAAGAAGATTCCGATATGGAGTGTGAACGATCACAACAGCACGGCATATCTCCATACAGTCATCGAGGCATTGCGAATCGCCTTCTGTGATGCTCATTGGTTTGTCACCGACCCTAATGTTGTCAAGGTACCGTCCGCCGAGCTGATCTCACAAAAATATCTTTCCGAGCGCGCAAAGCTCTTTGATGCAAAGAAGGCCATTTCAGCGCCCGTCCATGGTTCTCCAGCACACCTGCAAAGTGATACCGTTTACTTCTGCTGTACCGACCCTGAGGGCAATGCCATTTCCTTCATTAACAGCAATTATGGCGGGTTTGGAACGGCGATTATTCCCAAAGGCTGCGGTTTTACCCTCCAAAACCGTGGTGCAAACTTTAGTCTTGACAAAGACCACCCGAACGTACTAGCACCAAGGAAGCGACCATATCACACAATCATTCCAGGCCTGACAACATACGTCAGCGACGGTAGCTTGCACTCCGTGTACGGCGTGATGGGTGGATTTATGCAACCCCAGGGTCATGTTCAAGTCCTCCTCAACCAGGAGGTCTTCAAGCTCAATCCACAAGCTGCACTTGATTCGCCGCGTTTCTGTATCGGTGCGGGTATGCCGAGCGCCGATGGCAAAATGACTGATGCGACGATATACCTAGAGGAGGGCATTGATCCAAAGGTAGTGGAAGAGTTGCGAGCACTTGGCCATAATGTAAAGCAGCTGGACGGCTATGGACGGGGCATGTTCGGACGGGGCCAGATCATCAGGAGACATGTAGATGACGGCGTACAGGTCTGGAGTGGAGGTAGTGATCTACGAGGTGACGGACACGCGGTGCCGTTGTAGACAGCCTTTCTCGACTCTGCTGTGTCAGCACTAGAGAAGAATTAACTCAGTTCCATGCATCTTTTGACAAGCTTTTAGACATGCCACATATTGTCATGCAACAATGATCCTACACACTATCTCTCGCATCGCGTGTGGCTGATCCGTTTCGCTTGAAGAACAAAGGAACCAGAGGACAACCCTTACATAACGATGTGGCGGAACTGTGAAACACGAGCGTAATATCCATCCTCAGCAACTGTGCCGCATTCAGAGTCAACTAAGCCAGTGACAGCTAATCAGCTTATTGGCAGGACGGCTTTACACCTAGCAGTACGATGTGCCACAATCCACTGTGCTGGTTTTCAAAGGGCAGATTGCGCCTCTGCACCGCATGAAACCAAGTTAATCACCGAATGTGGCCATTGCTCTGGCGTAGTTGTGAGGTGGTATGAGTATGAGCACATGCCGCGATGGGGAATCACATCGCAAATACCCAGGTACACCGCACTCATGTTCTTTCCATTCCCTCTCCAGTACGACTACTTCCTACCTGGAACCATGGCACCTCAGCGTCGCCCTTCGATCAGATACGATGCCCTATCCTCTATAAACTCCTACAGTCTCTTTCCTACTAGTCGAAAAGCTCCTTCTATCAGATCTACGCACCACCAGGAACCAGCCACAACAGTCGCCTGGACTACATCCAAACATGTGCAGTCTTACACCACCTCCAAATCTTCGTCGCCTACACGAGCAGATATATCATGCGGAATACAATTCTCACGACTCTTCTCCTCTCGTCGCCGTATCGCTCCTCGTCGAGACCATCGTATCCAGCGCATCCATGTACCCGCCGGATACCAATCACTAGACTTCTCAAGCTGGGAAACCTATTCAGAAACAGCTCGAGAATTTCAATTATACGCATGAGAAAAAGGGCAAAGTGGTATCATTCTCGCTAGCAAAGAAAATGAAAAAACCAAAGATGGAATGAAATTACGCTTGCAAACGCGCGCTCACCTCGCCCCCTCCTCGTCCTGAGCATAATCTTTCAAAATCCTCCCAATCTGTTTCCATATATTATACCCAACAACCAATATACCACTTTACTCTACGTCCTCATTCTTGGCTTCATTTTCTATGCGTCCACCCGCTCTTCTAAACTGTAGTAGCCTTCTCCATCTGGATCCAGATTCTCCTGCCGTACTTGCCCTGCTCCTGCCACTCCACACACTACTCCTCCTTCTCCTCGCGCCCTCGTCCACACTACTCTTCATCCGCATGCTTCCTTCGCTCCCCTCCTCCGACGTGGAAGAAGAGTGTCTCCGTCGCCTAGGCTCAGATTTCGAAGCAGCGTAGTGCTCTTCGGGGCTTGATACGAGGTTCAGTTTGTTGCTGTCTGTAGGTGATGGGTGGGATAGGATGGTTGACCAGGCGGCGGCTATGGAGGAACGACGGCCTGGTTGTGGGTCAGTATGTTGGAGTGGGGTTCGTGGTAGTAGGAATGGGGGTGTGGATGGCTTACGCATGTTTCCTGCTCCGCCACGACCGTAGGGGATACATGGGTCTTGTGTTGAGTGTGGTGACATTGTGAGAGAGGTCGTGGTATTCCAATGTCGATCTTGTTATGGCAGATGGAGTGTAGTATGTTGACGTATTGACTGAAAAGTCTTTGATTGTGTCGCAGAGTATGTTTGACGATAGTATTAATCTCGGGTACTTGGACGGTGAAATAGAAGTCGCTTGTCCTTGGTATAGGTAAATGCAAAAGTGGAGATGCCGAATTGTCCCAGCAAAGGTGCAAGCTCCTTCCCATATAAGCATCGATCCCACACAAATCGATCTGCATCTCCATGCTACGTAACCCACAATTTCTTCTCCTCGAAACCCCCATAGTCCCCGGATTCACCCGTCACGCTACTGAAAGCCCTGCCATTACCCACTCATATTCTAGAAGCCTATCTCTTAAACACTCGAGTGCTAAGAAGCTGCCGGGAACATATAAGCTTTTTATGGAGGGTGATCACTTCCTTGGCAAGGATGGCTCGAACGAGTAAGGGAATGTCAAAGAGGGCACCACTGGCGCTTGAGAAGCTTATCTATGCATGGCTGTGCTTGGCGAGAATGATGATCATGGGGACGCTCATGGGTTGACACGTTTTGTCGCGTGATCGGGGAGAGTGTGGGACGATGCGGAGGTGATCCCGCGGGGTGCGGGTGGCTTGCTTTTGAAGATCGGCAATGAAGACGACCAGTATGACGTAGCGTCGGCAGGCAGGATTCAATGACGGGTTGGGACGCTACACACAATTTTACGTTTGATGTGATTAGAAAGTTCGGGACGAGCCACTGTGCCGGCGCGTTTTATGTTCCTAGCATCGAAGGGCCAAGTTTTCATGATCGGTTTTCTCAGTTTGTTACGATAACTAGGTCTCCACGATGCCTACTTGCCACTCGCAACGACTTTGTGATATTTCGAGACCATGTGCATTTCCGTTTTGGGAACCGCCCAATCGTGCAGCATCATTTCCTTCCCAAATCCACCTACACATTCCCAAACCCCTTTGAGTTCCTAATCGCCAATCCCAGTTTCTTTTCCAAAATTTTCTTGTCTTGATAATCCGGCAAGTAGAGTTTACCAAAGCAGGTCGAACTACTCGGCAAGCCCCCTGATTCCGCGCCCGCGATCCTCACAATATGGAACGTAATACTCTCATACCCCGTAACCGGTACCCGGTCACTTGCCGTCACGAACTCCAGCAAGTGCCGTAAGTCCTCTTGACTGTAATCCTCTACCACGTCCCAGAAAGCGCGGATGTTGGAGTGGGACGCGGTGTATCCGTCTTCGTACTTTGCGCAGCGTTTAAGATCGGAGATAGAGATGTGCTGTGTGCCTTCGATGAGGTGGCGGAGTGTGGAAGGGGTGAAGAGTTGGAGCGATTTGGCGTTGATGCAGGTAAGGAAGCCACGGATGAAGGAGGTAAGTTGTGGGGCGATCGAATCGTAGGTTAGAGCGCGGACATAGGCTCGAACGTACTGTTCTCGATTGGTGTTTGTGACTAGATCCGGTTCTTCTTGCGATGGTTCTGGAGGTGTTGTGATGGAAGCGGATTCGTGAGAAAGGTTCTGGTTGACGATTTGGCCGAAGGCTTCGTAACTGAAGATGTACTCGCGCATAAAGACGTCTGAAACGTCGCCATCGCGCCAGGATAAGAGCTTCTGGAAGCCCTCAGCCAGGCTCGGCCAGCCGTCTCTTATATAGCCCAGTGCGTCGTAATCAACCACACGTTTGCAGAGCGGATTGCCCACACTTTGGAGGCAGTCATAGAAAGCAAGAGGAAAAGTGATGGGCAGAGTGATGCCATTGTATACAGCAAGACTGAAGAGTATGCCGAGCATCTCAAACTTCCATTTGGGTTCCAGACTTTGTGGTTGAAACCACGTCATACGTGTCTGCGGATCGATTGTGAACATACCTGATAAACTTAGTGAAAGAATTTGTGTAGTCATCAAAGTATAACTCACCGTTTTCAGGCCTGAATGCTTCGCTCAAGACTACGCGGAAGAACTCGTACGTCACGCCGCCGTGGTCTAGACCAACTTCTCCTTGCTTGTGGCCCATCTTGACCTTCAGCGGCTTGAGAAGCATCCTCTTGTCCTGGCCCCATAACTGATCCAGTGTATCCTTTAGTGGTTCCTCGCGACTAACATCCAGCACCAGGTAATCGCTAAGTGTTACCTTGGTTCGTCTCTTAATCTCCCACCAATAAGGTTCTTGTAGGAACATCTCTAGCGATCTTTGCATTTGATGGGTGCGCATGGTGTGGTCGTACTGCTTCATCATCTCCGTGAAGTTGATTGTGCGAAAGTAAGCCACAAGGTGTTGCTTGGAGAAGAGACAAGGGTACTCAAAGATATGTAGAGTGTTGGGATGATGCTCCCATGTAAGGTAGTTGATAGGCTCGTTCACGGTGTCTATTCGCTCGTGAAGTATTGGCATCTCGAACATTTTGGAGTTCAAGTACAAAGCTTGTTGTCTCGAATCTGTGTCTGTTAGCCTTTTTGTTTCCATCATAAGCCTCCTGGTAACTTACGAAGCTTGTCGAGGATCATTACAGCTGTACCAACACTACTCCATTTGTTTATCTCAGCCTTGCTTTCCCACTTCTTAACGATAATAGTCCGGAGCCACTCCATGAATGTGGCTGTAACAGTCCATCCAGGGTCTCCGCCCAGATCATGATTGGAAGTCAATCTTAGTTTCATAGCCATACTAATGCGCTCCAACACTTCTAAGTGCTCTATAACAACACCCATTAGTGTTGTGCTGGACCCAGTCGTATCTGCGTCGCCATCCAAGCTTGCCAGTATGTGCTCGAAGCAAGTTCGTGCTCCAATAGCACGAAGTAACCGATCGGCAAGACGAATCGCTGGCTCATACTCTAACTCATCAATGATCTCCATGTACGGATGCACAAATTTGTCAGGATGAGGAGCCGCGTCCGGCACCATGACGCCCCAGGATCGCAGCTTACGAATTTGTGCCCACGTGTGTGGCCACCCGACTGGTACTAGTGAGGTGAGTGCATGTATGCAAATCATAACAATATGGGCAGCTTCATTTGTGTCAAGATAACGCGAGGCTTCAGCTTTATCGTCCTGAGTACCAGTCGGTTTGCCCGGTTGACTATCTGTGGAAGCGCCCTTCCTTGAAGGTCTTAGGCGAGGACTCTTCTGGACGACAAGCTCCGGTGGACAGGTAAACAGAGCCTCCAACGCAAGCCAGAGGCTATCGAATATGAGCGCACCGTTGCGATGGTTCCAACCATGGAAGGAGTTCACTAAGCGCGACGAGTCAAGATGTGGTAGAGGTGAGTCTTTGAAGCCTGGGTTGGCATCATGGAAAGACGCAAGGAGCTTTTGTGGATCGCTTAGAGCATAAAACAAAGACCGATTGACAAGTGGTTTGGCACGTCGAGTTCGCCGCCCAGGGTCGAAGTCGACAATGTAGTTCAAGTCAGTAGAGCGGCTGTCGCCGTAGCGTAGAACGTCTTCCTTGAGCTTGTCAAGGATGTCGCAACTCAGTTTCGGTACTATAGGTACGCCAGGTGCTGTCCGGGTAGAGCTAGCGGTATCTTTAGTAGCTGGTTTAGATGCTACAGAGGGAGCTTTGGTCTGATGCACAGCAGGTGGGATCGTTCCTCCGATAGTGAAGCTCTTTCTTCCTGTTTTTTTGATGGATAGCATTGTCGGATCTGATGCACCGTCCACAGCAGAAGAGTGTGAAGCGGTAGAGGGACGTCGTTGGATTGCACCATTCGATGGATGGTAAGGTATCTTGTGGACATGCTGGCCGTTAGTTAGGACCTCAGCGACAGTGTTGTTTGAATGTAAATTGCTATGAGTGGCGGATGCGCGATGTGAATGTTGGGCAACGTTGCCCAACTTCCCATTCAACTGTGATGTCGCTGCAAGGGCGTTTGTGTGCGGCGTAGACTCTGTATGGTTCCCGTCTGCCCGAGAAGCTGGTAAACGGAACGAAGTAAGAACAGAGGCAGGACTGGGTATATGCGCGGTATAAGAATATATCATAGTCAAGCTGTCGTACAAGTTCTGACTAAGAGCCTTCGGGTCCTTCCTAACTCGCTGTCGCTGCCTAAGGGCGCTTATCAAGTCGCCATCGAGCCCTTCTGCTTGAGTTGCAGCTCCATCGCCAGAGCTGCTTCCTGCAAAGCTCTGCTGACGTTGTTGTGCCAACTGCCCTATCGCAGGGTACACAGCGTAGTTCCCAGCCGAGTCGACCCTAACTTGTTCCGCAAGACTGCTTGCGATCTCGAATGACTCGGGAGGGGTTTTGAGTTGGTGAGGGCACAAACCACGATTGGGATTATCTTGACCGGCAAGGTAGTGTGCTAGGGCGACAGCGGTGAGCAGCGTGGGTGGACGATGGGGCTTGGAAGCAGTGCGCTTGCTCGACGAGAGGCACGTAGGGGTATCGCAGTAAGCGCTCTTACAGCCATGGAGGATCTGGGACAAGTAGCTGTTGAATAGTCAGCACTCGACCCCAACATGCAGGGGGCTAGATGCCTACTGTCTGACAAGATACTGGACACGACGCTGTCTCTCGGTTTGTGAGCATTCCAGGATGCGGCTGGCGTCGTGCACATGTACAGCATTGTGCGGAGCATCGCGTTGACCCTCCGTCGTATTCATCATCGATGGAGACGCAGGCGGGAAAGAGAGTTGGGGCTAAGCATGCAGACTGTTGATGGATGTGTAGCTGTCATGGTGCAGTACCACGGTACGGTTACTCACTCATAGTAGAGACGCGTGAACAGAGGCACCAGCAACCCACTGGCGATAGGGCTGAGGGAGTTAGTGGCCGAGGGGTGCTCTTGCCATGCGGCTCTAATCCGCTGCAGGGATGGCAGGTGCCAGCGGCTTGGCACACTGCCTGCCGATTGATGTCATGCTTCAATATTCGCCCCCCATGTCCGGGCGGTGTTTTGCGCAAATCCATCATCTTCGCCGTACAGGACCGCTGATAAGGCCCAAGAGCTTACTGCCACTCCTCCTTGACTTTGTAATCGTCCCCTGTTTGACCTAGTGAAATTTTGCCCCTCGGCCAGTCATAAAGTCGTGAATTGACCGCGCTACCGTATCCCACACTCAACCCCACCTAATCGCCTATTATTTCTACTCCTCTCTCTCCTCCTCACAGTGCAGCCACGCCGACAAGTACTCCAATATCTGCAAAAATGGCGTCGCAAGTCCCTACCCAGGCTAACATCCAGTCTACCCATCCTTTCACCTGCAACACATGTCAAGTCGCCTTCCGGTCGAGCGACCTGCAGCGGGCGCACATGCAAACCGACTGGCACAGGTACAACCTCAAGCGTCGCGTCGCCTCCCTCCCACCGCTATCCTCTGAGATCTTCACCGAGAAGGTCCTCGCAAACAAGGCCACCGCTGCCGCCACTGCTGCCAAGGCTTCCTTTGAGAAGGTCTGCACTCCGTGCCAGAAGACGTACTTCAGCGAGAATGCCTACAACAACCACTTGAACTCGTCCAAACATCGCATCAATATGGCCAAGTCGGGCAGAGGCGCGCAACTAGATGACGCTGCCTCGGTCACTGGCTCCATGGTCAGCTCTGCCTTTTCCCTGGGAGAGTCCATGGCTGATTCGGAAGTCACTACCGTCAACGGAGACGCAGACAAGGATGTTGCAGATGTGGCCGACGGTTTGAAGAACGCGAGCATCGAGGAACAGAATGCCGAAGAGGCTGCCACTGCCGATGGCGACAAGACTTCCGTTGCCGCGTCCAACAAGCCTGCTAGCGATCCCCTCCTAGACTGCCTGTTCTGCAACTACAAGTCACCCAACTTCCAGCTCAACATTACGCACATGGGACGCTTCCACGGCATGTTCATACCCGAGAAGGAATTCCTTGCACAGCCCGAGGGGCTTATCAAGCACCTCCACGAGAAGATCCATGCTTACCATGAGTGTCTTAAGTGCCACAAGGTTTTGCACACTGCCTCAGGTATCCAAACGCACATGCGCGATCGTGGTCACTGCATGATCGCATTCGACACAGATATCGAGTTGGTTGAGATTGGCGAGTTTTACGACTTCCGCAGCTCCTACCCTGATGCTGCCGATTTCGACGAGATGGCAGAGGAGGCTGAAGATTCAGACGACTCGTCCTCTACAACAGGAGGCGGAATCAAGCTCGGCGCCAGGCGCGAGACCAAGACCACTACGGAAGACGACGCAGCCATGTCGAGCAACGCCGAGGAAGATGATGCAGGCTGGGAAACCGACAGCACTGTATCGAGTGTACCGACCGATGAAATCACAGCTGTGCCAATCGACCACACCCACCGACACAAGTCGCTCAACAAGTCCAAGCACCACAACCACGCAGATCCACGCCCACATCGCGCTGCGGACGGCTTCCACTCGCACGCCCACCACACACCCCAGGCCGTCTACTACGACGAATACGAACTACACCTTCCATCCGGTCGCACCGCTGGTCATCGTTCCCTAAACAAGTACTACCGCCAGAATCTGCGAAACTACCCCGGTGTAGCCGAGCGTATGGAGGAGGCTCAACGCGCCCGGATACCCGGCGCCATTACAGCTGGCGGCGAGGACGACGACGAAGAAGACGAGGACGGTGATGCCAACATGGATGGCGAGGAGCGTCAATTACAAGTTCGTGGACGTGGCCATGATCAGGATCGCCAGCTCATCTCGCGCGCCAACGGCGGTAGGGGTATGGTCGGCGTTACCGACGCAAAGAAGAAGGAGATTCAGGCTATTGAGAAGCGCGACAAGAAGAAGGAGCAGGCTGCCCGCAGCAAGTACCAGGCTGGTAACGAGAAGAGGCATAACTTCCAGAAGCACTTCCGTGATCCCCTCCTACAATAGTTGGGTCGCTTTTCGTGGTATGGCGGGGTTTTGTTTTCATTTTTCTTCCTTTTACTTTTTTTTCCCACGACTATTATGAGCATGGTTCGGAGTTTGCGTTATGAAAAAGGCATGTAGAACGTTCCGACTAGAATGTCGCTCGGACTGTGGTATACCTTGAAATATGATTTACATGAAAAACACATTGTCAGGTGCACGCATTTGGTGATGACGACTTGGTTGGACCCTGACTTGTGATATATTTAGGCCTGCAATATGCCGTGTACCATTATACTACGTCCAACTACCACATCAAGCTGAACATAACAGGTACAAAGATAAAACCATCATCGCACTATCAATGGAACCCAAGCTCCCAGTGAATGAGCTACTTGTTCTTTCCCTCTCCCCGCAACCCTGCAGCATGCACTTGCCTCCTAATATCAAACAACGCATCGTCAATCTCCTTCTCTTCATTCCGCCCCAGCACCAACGTCGGAGTGCTAAAAAGGTAGTCTTTGAGGCTCTTGAGCTGATTGATGATACTGCGCGGTGTGAGGATGACGCGATCGGCAAAGGAGCGGGATGGTGTATCGGTTCCCGCTGTTGCAGAGGGTTGGGATTGGGAGTGTTGCGACTGTGTTTGGGGTTGGCTGGCTGGTACTTGGTCTGAGCCTGAGGTCGAACTTGAGGCTGAGGCTGAGGCTGAGGTTCTGGGCTCAGGAGCTTCTTTCTGCTGAGCTCGTTGGGGTTCCGCCTCCTTTGTCTGAGGAGATGGCCTTCCTGCGGATCCTCCAGAAGATCGCGGCCGCGGCGAAACTTGTATATGACTAAGACGCTTTGTCTGACTCCCTGGCGTCGTCTTCTTCGCCTCGCTGACGTCCTGGTCTGTATTCGACTTGACCCGTTTGTTGGGTACGGGTGTTTCATCCATTGTTGTGTCTTCTATATCGTGCGAATTCTCGACCTGAGAAAGAAGAGATTGAGAGCGTCGTAGGTTTAGTTTGCGAGTGGTTGCAGGACTGGCAACAGGAGCGTCGGTGGAGCTAATCTTCCGCTTCTTCCCCCGTGACCTTTCGCTCGCTTTTGGCGACGCGGCCACGACGATGTTGTCAAGCATCTCCTCGTCTTTGTCCTGGGCTTGTGCTGGTGCTGGCGCTGGCGCCGGTTCCGGTTCTGGTTCTGGTTCTGGTTCTGGTTGTGCCACTGGTTCTGATTGGGATACTGGCTCCGGCTGTGAAACTGGTTCTGGCTCCGGAGCGTGTTCTTCTTGTGCCTGTCTTCCAGCTTTGGTTCTCCTGTCTTTCTTCGCAGGAGTGCTCGTTTTCTTCTCCGCCCTTGCAGGAGTACGTCTGGGCTTCTTTCCGCTTGGAAGACGTTCAAGCCGAGCAGGGCTTCCCATGGAACTACGCGTAGAACGGCGCAGCGTATGCGGCGTTCCTTTCACAGAGCCCTTATCAAAGGAGTCTCCCACTCGACTTGTACTGCTTGTCGTCGCCTGGGAGCTCTTGCGCGAAGCTCGACGAGCAGGCCCACGAGTTGGCGTCTGAACATCGTCTACTTCGGTGTCACTGCCGGGGTGGTCGTCGTTAGTTGTTGACGACTGTGGGTGCAAAAGCGAAACGGCAGCATCAGCGATGTCGTAGTTTGACTCTGACTGTTGCTCCTCTGTCCCTTCGGGGGCAGTATCGTGTATTTGCATGTCGGCGTCGATTTGCGCTGTGAGTTGTAGGTCTATGGTTGAACTTGGCAATTCTGACATGATAGTGTCTGAAACGCGGTCGGAGGCTATTTGAGGGTTGTCGTGGGGCGCAACAGCGTCAAGTAGTGCCTCCTCATCAATTGTGGTTCCTTCATCAAAGGAAGCCGAAAATGACCTTTCGGGCTGGCGATAGTCAAAGCTGGAGCCTACGAGAACATCAGGTCCGGTTTCTTTGTGGGCCGGCCTATCTTCCTTTTCGAATTGCGGCGGCGAAGAGTCTGGTTCGTCGTTTGCATACTGGATGCTTCGCACAGCCGTGGGTGTGGCAAGGTCAGTGTCGTCGCTTACGATATTGCGAGTACTCTTGCGGGTATGCGGAGTTGGTGAAGAGCCAAGGTAGCCGTCCATAGGTCCCATTGCCGCAAGAGCCTTGAGTGGTGTTGTCCGAGAGGAGTGGTTTGGCAGATCATCAGCTGTCAATGCATCTGAATGGAACTCCAACGGCGATGGCACTTCATCCGGCTGTAGCGAAGGTGCACCAAGGTTGGCGAATAGACCACTGCTGAGTTTCTGACGATCGATCATCTCCTTTTGTCGATCGGTCAATACCTGCGACTCTTGCTGGAACGGGTTCGATGGCGAGGACATGATAGGTTCGAACTTGATCTGAGAGTTGTCGTGTCGGAGACGGACCTTTGGCGTCTGTCGCGAAGGCACCCTTCTGGTGGCTGAAGCCGGTATAGCTGGAGACCGAGACTTAGACCTTCGTGACGCTTTAGAGATCTTGAAGGGAGTGCCCTTAACTCCTGGGCTCTTGAAGGCACGTTTGACTTCGTCTACACTGGTATCTGAATCGTAAAATGATAGCTTGTTCTCCTGCTGTGGCGTTAGTGGTGTTATGCAGGGACTTGTAAAGTTGCTTACAGCATCCTCTTCCCGGACTTCTAGAGAGGGCAGAGAAAGCTCGACGCTATGCCATAGTTGTCGAAGGGACTGCTCAAGTCGAGGGGGATATCGTAGGCTATCTTCTTTTCCGAAGGTTGCATTCCAGGTCGCAATCGAGAGGTTGACGATACTTCGGCGTCTGCTAAGAAATCCTGCGGTAATCATCGGCTGTAGATGAAGTAACACCTGGCTATCTTGACGCGGTAATCGCTCAATAGCTTTGCAAACCTCCTGCCACAAGCTGACAACCTGAAGAGGGTTAGCATCTACTCCCATCCTGCACAGCAACGAACATACCTCGAGATGTAAGCTCTTCAACGACTCCTCCCTGCTCTGCATCTTCCTCTCGGGATCTTCGACCCAAACATGGATCGCGTCTTGTATCTTCCGCAAATAGCCAGCGAGATGAGACGTCGAGCATTGTTGAATTGAGGCACTGAGCGCTGAAAGAAAGCCTTTTGTTGGCTCCACATTGTCTTTGTCAATATCTCTGTAAGCGGCCGATCCAACAGAGATAATGGCTCCATACAGGTGAACGTAGGGATCGATGTCTTGAGACCGTCCGGGTGCTGAATTCGAAGGCCAGAGACTCTGTCGGCCTTGTTCCAGCACTTTGCGGCTGATCAGCTTTGGAAGGTTGCGAAGAAGAATGCTGGCATACGCCAGACAAGAAGCTTTCTCTTCATTCGGTGTACGCTTGAGCACATGCTCAGATACCTTCTCAATGACCGCGAGTGGAAGCGCACCCTCTCCTGCTTCCCGCCGGACAGTACTGACAAAAGTTGATAGGATTTGGTGACCAAGTGCTTTTTCCAAGAGGCAAGCAGAACCAAGACTGAGGATCTCCACCACAATTTCATACTCCTTACCCAGACAACGAGAATTGCGCTCGTCTGAAGGAGGTGACTGGTCCTCCAACAAAGCATTGAGCAATGTTCCGATCCGGTTCCAGAACTCTGACGCCACTGCGCCCTTGAGCGAACCATCGACTGCTGCCGCACAATCTCGAAGAAGCTCCAGTTTGCTCAGCCGGGTGTTTTGGACAGCGAAACAAGGCTCGATGATGACTTCGATCGCACGGAGTCGAACTGGATCAGCTAGTTTCCCCTCGGATTGAGTGACCAAGAGATCGACAAGGTAGAGGAGCGGTGATGAGCGCGTTCCCTGATGCCGTGACCGATGTGATGGTGTGGATGCAACCTCGAACTCGTTGTTTTCGTTCCGTGTGAGACGCTTGTCTGCAAATTGAAAAGGGCCCAGCTTCTGTACCACAGTCTCTATCAGAAAGCAGAACTTGTCTGCCCATATGTCCTCCTTCTTCTGCGACAAGGCGATCTTCTCCGTGTGTTTGTCCCAGATTCGGCGCAGCAGGTTAATTATATGGGCCATGGCGTCTTTCGTCTCCGTTGAAGCCATGATTTCCTTGCTACTTGCTTCCACCAGGGCACCGATGACTGCTTGCCACATTGTTTGGACTGGCTCGTCTTCCGGTTCCCTGCTCTCAGACAATAGTGTGGCATCGAGGAGAGTCTCTACGAACTGCAGTATCAGAGCAATCGACTTCCGCACCCACCTGGGGTCCACTAGGGGGAGCTCGTTACGCGGGATCATAACATTCGGTCGAAGATCCAGGGCACGGTACTCGTTCCATGGTTTCCGAGAACCGTCTAGAAGAGCAGATACGATTCGGCATGCGGGTATAGCGTGCCGATAAGAGGCGGGTACGGCCTGCTTTTTAGGATCGGGCAGGATCATTGGAGTCCAGACGTTGACTATGAACTGAGTCCAATATCGATCGAGTTGCTCAAATGTGGCAGTTGGGCGCAGAGCATAGTACAGCAGCGTAAAGTATGCGGATGAGATAGCGTCTTGCTCGGACTTTTTCATAGGTATCTTTCTTTGCAGTGCATGTACTGAGATCTTGCGAAACATATCCGACCAACCTGCAGATGTATCTGGAGTCAGATTGACAGAATGTACCAGGAAAGATATAGCGACGTTGGAGTAAACCCTGACCTGCTCGTTCTCCGATGAAATGCAGTTCTGGAGAAGCGTGAGCCAATCTGCCAGAGCAGTGAACGTTTCGCGGTAGAGCGAGTTTTTCAGTAGGCCTGTGACAGCTGCCCAGATCTGTGGCACCAAAGCAGCATATTCACCGCCCAGTAAACGATAAAGCTCCATTATGAAAATGCTGGCAATGGTCGCACCGTCACTCTTGACCCGGTTCAGAACTACCAAGACGGATTTCGCGACATGCCGGTCATGGCCAATAGTTTTGGCGGCTGTTACTGCAGTGTCTAGCGCACTCTGACTGATATCCTTCTGAACCGATACCAGAGCTTTGAGTGTATGTGTAAACCATCGTTCGGTATGCCTGATCATGACCTCGGGGCGCTGCTGAAGCAGCTTCCTGTATATCCGGACCCGGTATGCCTGTACGGCATGACCAGATGTTCGCTCATGGATGGTCTCTAGTGCATCGAGGACTTTCTCGACGCGGGTCGCAGTCACGATCTTGGGCCGAAAGTTTTGTTGCATGAGCACAGCCAGATGTGTGTTGACGGTAGTCTTTGGCATGGTGCTATCGCTGACTATGCGGATAATGCGTTCTATGACGAAGGAGCAAAAGTCTTCGTCCATGGCGGACATCAAGTCGGGGGTGCGGAACAGAGCCATGAGCAACTTCATGGCTTGTCCAACTAGTTGTGAGTCCAGTCCTGTACCGGCCAGACCTGGCTCCTGCATGTCGCGCCGTATAAATTGGGTCAACAGAGACAGTTTCTGCTTGAGTGCCTGATCGTCGGGAATCTTGTCGTATGCTTGCAAAGTCCTTAGCAAGGATTGGTATGCATCCAGCCGCGACCCGCGGTCCGAAGTCGCAAGCAGCTTGACAATGGCTTCCAGCATCTCGGCGAAGGACTTGAATCGATGTGCGGCGGCAGCGTCGTCTGCAGGCGGAGGCGTGGCCGTGCCGTCGGCAGGCTTCAAAATCGACTTTAGCGGCTTCGTGAGGCGGGTCTGTGGGAGCGGTCGGAGCGGCGAGCTACGTGTGGGTGTCCAGGACTGTGCGACAGCTTTCGCGCTGGGCAAATTGCATAATTGTAACTCGAAGTTGACTCTTTTCCTTGCGCTGGCAGCACTCGAGGGTATGTCGATATCGGATGAGGGCGATTGCTCTGGTGTATTAGGGGGCTTCTTTGCTGCCTTGAGCCTGGGAGGAACAGGCTTCTCGCCAAAGGGGTCTTCAAGGAATTGTAGCGTCTCGTCGGCGCCTGTGTCTTCTTGGTCTTTAGGTGGAGTGGGAGGGCGAACGGAGAGGGCTTCAAACTTGGACACCATGGCTATGCTGGAAATCGCTAACAAGAGACGGAAACAAAAGCAAAAGAAGGCACTCGCATCGCTGTCGTATACGTGACTGAAGTCGAGGACGTGTAGAGCGAGTGTGGAGGTGACGATCGACTACCCCGGTCCAGACGACAAAGGTTGGTGTTGGCGACGCGTCTAGCGCGACGCTCCTCGTGCGCGTAAAGTGCTAACCTCAAGTGCCCATCCACTGGACAACGGCCCCTCGAGCCAACACCGGCTCCATGCGTCTGAAACCCAGCACCACATGTTCAGTCACATCGCATGCAATGTGTGAATTGTACTGTAATTGGACAGTTGCTGAATCACTTCCTTCGTCTCAACGGGGATTTATAAGGAATCGTCCCCACATAGACTTGGAGACTTGCCGTCGTCGTGCAAGACTCTCTGGCTTGTGCGCATCATCTTAGATTCATCTGTTCCAATCCTCTATTCCTGGATAATCAATCAGATCATGCGCAAGTAGACAGACGCCTACGGATACTTGCCTGCTGCAGACGCGCCTTGTTCGTTCCTCGATGTGGACCCCGGCGGTTGATGCAGGTCCCATAATAGTGGGGCTCTCCGAGCTCAAGCTTCATCCCACCTACGTGACGTGAGAAGCACTGATCGTCTTCCACAACTTGACCGCCATGTTATCGCAAAGAACGGGTAGAGGTCAGTTCCCTGCTCCGGAATGCCTTCCTAAGATCATCACGGGCTAACGGGTACCAGCAAAGCTCGACGACGTTACCAGGATACTTTCCGAATTGAAGACCGACCTGGACGTGAAGAAGCTGTCTGTTGAACGTACGTCTTCTTCGGATAGAATCAATGCCATGCGCTCACTGTCTGGACAGAAAGACGGCAGCTACTCGAACAGCTCAAAGTCTACGGCCGTTCAGTCGACAATTCCGACCCCATATTCACGGAAGATGTACTACACCACACCACGAGTCTACGGACGGCATAGTGACCGTGATAGGGCCTCCGGACACTAGGGCACCACGCCTTTGACGGAGAGACTACACCTGCGGCACAGGAAGCTCTCCGATGCATAGCCAATGCTCTCCTTCTCCAGCCCAAGACGCGCCAGATACTCGTCAATCTAGGCCATGGTCCACATGCAGCGGAAAAGCTGAAAGTAGGCAACCCTGCCTTCGAATCTGAAAACAGAGCCGTATTAACTTACAAACAGGAAGAAAGTATCGACACTGAGTTCCTCGCCGCCCGTATCCTCTTCCTCACAACATACAACGCGAACCTCGATTACGCACAACTCGTCCGCGAGAACCAGCTAGTCGACAGCATCAATGCAGCCATCACACGGCATGCGAAACGATACTCCAAATCCGCGCCACGCAGAAACGAACAGCCCATGGAGGCCATGGCGCTCTCTGAAACACTCAAGCTACTCTTCAACATCATACATCATAAACAAGACCTTGCTCCCCTCTTTGCTCCCTCAATACCCAACGTTTTCAAGATCCTGGTGCGGAGAGGAATACCGTCGCCGCCATTGTCCGGCCCAACGCGCGAACTAGTCAACATCCTCCTCCATCTAGACATCGAAAACGAACAAGGCCGAGAAGGCCTCTTCCCATCATTCGACGGCGAGGTCAACATCCGCCACTTGATCAAGATTCTCGACCAAGCACTCATCGTCTACCCACCCAAAGAACTTGATGAGACCGTCACACCCCTCCTTACCCTCATCCACCGTATCTACACGGTCGCTCCAGCAGAAATTGCCAGCACAATGGAGAAGTTACTCCTCCCCACAACCGAAGAACGTGACCGCCCCCTCGGAAAGTCAGACACGCTGTCCTCTCGACTACTCAATTTATCCACGTCCGCTTTGACACCCTCACTGCGAAACGGGATATCGATGTTGCTGTGGAAACTCTCACATGAAGATCCCGCGACATTTGTGCATAACGTCGGCTACGGCTTCGCTTCTGGTTTCCTCATGTCAAACAACATACAAATGCCTGAGGAACTAGTCAAGGAGCATGCGCCAGAGAGTGGTGATGAGGGTATACCGATCAACCCTATCACGGGGCAGAGGCTGGATAAGGAGGAGCAGGTGCAGATGGAGCCCATGACGCAGGAGGAAAAGGAAAGGGAGGCGGAGAGGCTATTTGTGCTGTTTGAGAGGTTGAAGGCGACGGGGGTCATGGATGTGGTTAATCCGGTCGAGGAGGCGTATCGATCGGGGAGGATCCAAGAGCTGAGTGACGACGAGGATTGAGGATTTGGACTGTGCGATTTGCGGTGAACTGGACATATGGGTCACGGCGTAAGATTTCTGCTTTGACCTAGTAAAGAAATATGAATTGACGATATTGAAGACTAGATACTGAGTTGCCTCGCCATATACCCGCTTGATCCCTGAAATATGCGTATTTTCACGCCTTGGTAAGTTGTGTTTAGACCTTTAGTTCCCAGATAAATATTGGACGTAGAATAGAATATAAAAAGATGGTCCTCCAACGCCGTGGAAATTCTGCTGGAAATCGCCGAAAAATGTGAAGGGCATGCTGCGAACCGAATGTAACTTGATGCTTTAAGGCGAGTCGGTTGTTCAAATATTTGTTTCCATCAGGAGATGTCGATGGTAGCATACGCTGAAGGTAATATATGCTAGTTAAATGTGCTGAGGATGTCGTATGCTGATTGGCGTTAATGTCGAAGGGGGAGTACGATCTGGCAAAGGGATGCCTTGCATTACACATGGTTGGACCTTGAGCCATGAGTTTCCCATTCCGTATGATGGTCGCAGCCGACGTGGTCTTTGAGACGTCGGTTGTCCTTGTCGCGTGGATACGTAGCGGGAATCTCGATACTAGGCAGAAACCTCATACCATCATCGTTGCTGTACTGATGTACCCATATCGGGCCGAGAAGCTGCTTCAGCAAGCCAGCTATGAGGTTTCCCAGATAAGCGTTGAGTTTGCACACTGGATACGCAGCAACCCAGAGTAGAAGAACGCTACCAGCACCCTTCTGCCAAGACGACATTCTGGCGACGGTCGCGGGAGTGCCTTGGTCGTGAAGTTTGGTAATACCATAGGGTATGTTTCCAAGCCAGTCGAGGATGCCGCATGTGTGTAGGAGAAAAGCTGAACTGCATGCGCCGGCAGTGTAACCGGCAAGCCTAGTGTTAAACTTGTACAGGACGGTAAACATGAAGAACGTGCCGATGGTGGCCAGGAAGCTTCGAAAAAGCCATGTGACAAGTGCTGGTATTGCGCTCAGAAAGGCGAAACCTTCGGCGATGTGCTCGGTTTGCATCTCAAAGATGTCCAGACGTTGAGCGATACTGTCCACCTTGGAAAGAGAGCGATCTGCGACATCGTTGGTTTGGTGGATGGTGTGTTGTGTGGCGGTCATATAACCCGCTAGCACATTGTAGCTTTCGACCTGCGCCTCGTGATTCGATTGAATGCTGAGCTTGGCCAGTTCGTGATGTTGTTGGAGCTCGTCAGTGAAGCATGCAGCGAGCTGGGAGCTCTCCAGCATCAAGTGTTGCGAGAAAGCCTGCATTCTCTCACGTATGTGGTCGATTTCGTTGGTCTGACTCTCGGACAGAGCGATGATGAGGTCTGAGATCGACGACTCCATGAAACTCTGAAACTTGTCGTCAAGCGCTCCGACTGTGGCGACGGCCTTCTCTTGCACAGCTTGAATGTCTTCTTTGAGCTGCTGGTGAGAGTCGCGGACTTCTTCGGAGTACTGCCTTTGCTCACGGATCAACAACTCGTATTCCTCAGTCGTCTTCTGCATAGTCGACGTCACATCACCCAGAACTTGTGTCAGATTCTTGAAGATGTCGAGATGGTTTTCTCGCTCGATAACATCTCTGCTAGCCTGGCACATGACGACTGCATTCTGGCGAGCATTGCTGAATGAAGTCCAGTATTGAGGTGTGGATTGGAGGCTCTTTAGGCACTGCATGTAGTAGTACTCCTTGAATTCTGGGTAGCATTGCTTGTCGCTGGGAACTTCTGGCCGAGCATGCCACCAGCCACCGCCTTTCCCGCAGTGTCTTGATGCAGGAACCAGTATATCGCAATTAGGCGGTGGTGTTGGATTGAGTGGCTGGGCACTCAATAGTTCGCAAACAGCTAATTTGGCGGCATACTCGGTCTTGACATTATCCAGGTACGCATCTGGGCGAGATTTAGCGAAGTCCGGTGCATGTTCCAGTAGCTTGCATTCGTTCATTAGATGAGAAGCAGCCATCCTAGTGCACGTCGGAGCTGTCTGCATGGACACGACAAATTCAACTGCTTGTGTTATTACCCTGTGGTTCCTCGATGTTGTGTACTGGAAAAGTGAATCAACATTGACTGTTGGAGCTGCATCTGCTGGAGGGGAATACTGAGAGAATGCCGTAGGAAGGAGCAGCCCAGCTGTTATGAGCCTCGCCATGGTCAGTACATTTCGAGGGTCCATATGACTAGCTTGCCGGTGGGAGGCCAGGGTTATCGAGACCACAGAGAAAGTTGAAAGCGAAATGAAGCAAGAGTCGGGAAATGGAAGGCAGTGGAGGATGACGAGGAAGCGAAGGATCAAGCACGGTAAGATTGTTATTTGGATCAGCCATGTAAGTTTGCGATGTAGTGAGAGAATGAGGAAGGCGCATTGTTTGAGCTTTCGAAGCATGCTGGCCTGCTGCGACAGCCAGGTGAGGTCAAAATTGTGGTAAGAGGACACGCTGTTAGTCAAACAGCAAAAGATACAGACCTAGGTGAGAGACCGGCTGGTCAGCATTCTCAATCAACAAATTCAAGCACAACATGACACAACACGCTCCGCCAAAAAGAGTGATGACGATCGGAATGTTGTGGTGTTGAGGGGTGTTCAGTGGGGGAAAGTGCGATATGCCGACCAATCAGAGACGGCAATGACGCGCTATCACGGGATCGGATAAGCTAGCTTCGAGCTGGGGATTGCCGAAAACTCTCGCGATCGTATCTGTCGGCATCAAGACAAAATGTTCGCCCCAGCACGACGGCGGTGCGCCCAAAGCCTCGCGAAGGCCTCGAGCCAGACGACCGATTCAATACCGACTTTCCTGTTACCCGTATTCTCCCGGCCTACGCCCGCCAGGACCTTTACCTCAACAGCACCATGTCAATCGAAGATCGGGTCCCTACCGCTCTCGTTACCCCAGGGAGTCACATTCCAAGTGGTTGCGCCTTCGGCTAAGGCCAGGAGCTCAAGAGTGCAGGCAATGTCTACAGTACATATCAAGGGACCGCTCGGCGAGCTTTCAATGAACATTCCTCCATATATCAATATCAACCAGGATCCGGCATTGGGTGGTCCAACATTGACAATAGAGGACGCAAAAGACGCGAAACAGAAGGCAATGTGGGGTATGCGTGCTGTCTTCGTAACGTGCTGCGCAATTGGCTAACTTGAATTCAGGCACCACCCGCGCATACCTCCAGAATCACATCCTCGGTGTTAGCGAAGGACACAGTGCCATTCTCCGCTTCGTTGGTGTCGGTTACCGTGCCTCAGTCGAAGACACTGCAACTACAGTAAAAGCCGAATTTCCGGGCCAGAAGTTCGTCAACTTAAAGGTCGGATACACACACCCTGTCGAACTCGCTATACCAAAGGGCATGACCGCGAGTACACCGCAACCGACACGTCTACTATTAGAGGGGCCGGAGAAGGAGGTAGTCATGCAGTTCGCGGCCAAGATAAGGGCCTGGAGGAAACCTGAACCATACAAGGGCAAGGGTGTTTTTGTCAATGGAGAGACCATCAAGATCAAGAACAAGAGAGTGGGCGGCAAATAGAAAGGATGATGACATTGTGGATGTGTACCATATTTGTTCGCTTTACATCATGAATCATTGGAACCGTGTCACCATGCGTGGTTGGGTCCGAAGACGGAGCATATACCACGGTACCGAAGTACACCTCGGTTCAGGCATCCATTCTTCGACCTTTGTTTCTGCGATTTCGTCTTGTCCCAGCGACTCAATTTTGGTTACACTGCTGCCTGATGAAACCTGGTGACTGGCTGGCTCTCTACGTGGAGAACAGACATGAGTGATTTCCGTATATATACTGACCTTGATCCTTGATCTTAAGTACCTACATCCACACAGTCGTCAATTCCACACCATGTCTACCTCCCAGCCCCCGAAATGCTATCTTCTACGCATTCCTCGTGAACTGCGTGACGCAATCTACGCCTACTATCTCAGTGACGATGGATACTATCACCAACCCGAGTCGAATACCTTGCGACATGCTGATAGATCAGCCATCGATCTCGCGCTGACACTGAGTTGCAAGCAGGTCGCAGCGGAGATGATAGCATTGCCCTTGAAGCTGAATGCTGTGGAATTCAGAACGCACCTGGCACCTATCGAGACAGCTGGTATTGGAGAGCGGAAATGGCTATTTAGAAAACCTCCACCTCGGGATCGTCACAACGACGATTACTCCGCGCCCCCTTCAAGGGCTGGGCATTTTCACTTTCTGCTGGCACGCCTACACGACAAGGAGGCAGACGCTTGCGTAATCGCTTTTAACGCATATGGTAAGACAAAGCTTATACACGACTTCGTTCGCGCTCTTCAGTCAAGGTACATGCTGACTACGTGCGGCAGGTACTGAGGAACTCGCAAAATGTATCTCCGAACGATTCCCCCAAAGCTGCCTGGGCAAGCAGCTTCATAAACTACTACCAAATAAGGTCACAGAAGCTTCTTACTATGAAGTAATGGACCGGTTTCGGAATTCGACATTCTACGAACGCCAAGCTATGCAGTTTCTCCTTGAAAACATATCAGCTTTTGCTACTCAAGCCAATATTGTCAACGAGTCTAATCACAAGAGTGAGAATGAATTCAAGCTCCCACTAGGACCTATGAGCCGTCATGCTTCTGAGGTCGTGGCTTCGAGAATCTCATCCGTGGAGTGGCCACCTTGGGTATTGCCTACGGCGTTGCATATATCAAAGTTGCACGAAATCGTCAACTCTGTAGATAAGAGCGACCCGGAGCACGGGTACTGTTCAAATGCGCACAAGCTTAGGTACTACGAATCAGCTGCCTCGCAATGTATCCGCTTTCTCGGAATGTTAGAACAGGACGCGAGTTTCCGATTGCGGCATCTGATTATACGCGAAGACCGCAGATCTTGCACAAAACCACGTTGCCATGCGTATGGTCTCATTCCATATCTCAGGGGTCTGCCTCATCTGCGCGTCGACCATCACGTTGATATGTGGCATGTCATGTAAGTTGTGCATCCTTTCGAAGAATGGACACCTTCTAACAATGTGTAAACAAGCTTTACGACAGATTACAGTGGACTCGCCAGACTGGGCCTCGACTTGCGATCCTGGCCAGACCCCCGGTTTATCCCTTGGTTATCCAACGCAGTAGATGAGACCGCTACCTGGATCAAGGAAGCGATGCATTTACGACGCGCCGGTATGCCTCCTTCTGCCTACCGCCTTCATCTCGAGGCACCGATGGAGACCGTTTAGGATGTCTGGGGTATCATCAAGTCGCGCGCAGCCCTTCACCACTTGATCTCACACCTTCCTGTTCGTAATAAATACAGTTCCTTCCGTTGTGACGATGACTTTGTGTCTTGTGTACGACTCATTCTGTCTGGAGATTCCACTGTACATTTGCCGTGTCCTGTAGGCACTCTGGAAGAATTTGAAGAAGAGATTGGTCGTATAAGCGAGGATTTGAACAGTTTGCCGAGAAACCTTTGGGAGGATTATGGCATTGATCTCGTTGAGAGGGCTCTGGACACTTCGATGGTTGATGTCAAGGCTATTTATGAGTTGTATATAGACAGTCCGGCATGAAGCGGCCATAATCAATACGGATAAGGGACTTGAGAGGGGTCGGACTGGAACGCTGTAAACTCAATACGATTGATTGTTTTGGTATCTCATCAATATGAAAAGTACCTTGCATCAGGAACCGCAGCGCGATCCAACTTGAAGTACCCAGGTTGCAGCTTCTGGAAAACCTGCGTCGGATCATACCTCTTCGCGACAGTCTTCAACTTACTCTTACTAGCCAATCCGTAGCTCGCAATAACATCTTGGAACATCGCTGCATAGTTCATGTACACCCAATCATTCTGCACACCCAACTTTACCGCATCGCTCTTGATAGCCTTCATGATATCGGACATGACCTTGTATACGGTTTCATCATCCGCAGCATTGTTCCACGAGCATGCTAGCTGGATAATATGAATAGGGCTACCGTTGGCATCAAATCCCAATGCGTTGCCACCGTTACGGGTACTGCCTTTGAGCGAACCATCCGTGATGTGCTGCCAGATAAGCACGGGGAATGCGCCTTCTACTGCTGACAGAGCGTCGATTGAATCGAAGAAGATGTCCACGGAGCGCTGAGCGATCTCGTACGAGGCTTTGACTGTAATGTCGTAGAAGATCTCACGCTGTCCATATGTATTGCTGGCTTCGTTGTCCACTACGTAAGAGGCATGGCCACGAGTCTTTGTGCTGTCTGATATGGCAGTGATGTTGTAAAAAGGCGCCAGAATGGCAGACTCGTTACCAGCTGGTGCGCCATACCAGAGCTCGGTCGAAGCAACTTTTGCGCCGGCATTTATCCAGGCGATCCAGCTGCCAGCCTTGGGGTCTTGGGCTGAGTCAAGTGTGAGGTCGATCCATGCTTTGACTACATCTGGGAAGACGTCCTCGGTGAAAGTGCGAGTTCCGCCCCAGATTTGGTCGTTGTTGAGTGGTTTTGTCCACAGGTTGAAGTTGGTCACTATGCCGAGATTGTTTCCTCCACCACGGAGAGACCAGTACAGGTCTGGGAAGGTCTTAGGGCTTGCTGTGACTATAATGCCGCTCGCTGTGACGACCTGATGAAGGTTAGAAGAAGACTTGTGAGGTATATGCAATTGCTTACATCGAAACTGGCAACGTTATCACATGCCAGACCATACTCGTTAGTGATGAACGAGATGCCTCCACCAAGGGTAAGACCACCAACACCGAGATCACCGATTCGACCAGCCACGACTGTGACACCAGTGGTCGACAAAGCAGTCAGCACGTTACCCCAATTGTTTCCTGGCTGTACCGCGACAGTCTTCTTGTCTCCGGAAAGTTTGATGCCCTTCATGTTCTCGAATGATACGGTGATACCACCTTCAATGGTAGCTGCGCCAGCAAACGCACTATGACCGCCAGACTTGACGGCAAACGGACATTGTGAAAGCCGAGATAGAAGTACCATCACAGAAACCTCAGCAGGGCTTGAGGGTTTGAAGATACAGTATGGCCTCACATCGGCCGAGATCCCAGACCAGAACCCGGATGTGAATGCAGTGTAGCCAGCCTCATTTTGAAACTCGACAGACTTGTTGCCGTAAAGAACTTCGAGTGAAGAACACTACGTTTGTTTCAGCTCTATCTCTGGTCAGACTCAAGAACACTTACAGCGATGTTGCAAGCCAAATCCGAAGACCGCTCCACAAGACCAGCTAGCTCTGGCAATGCTGAGATATTGACACCTTGATCAAGTAGAGCCTCAGTGACGTTAAAGTCGGGAGCTTCAAACGTTCGGGAAGCGACGAGCGTAGCCAACGTCGCAAGCAAAAATGACCGCATATTGACTTGGGTTGGTATCGACAAGGTGGTGGGGAACCATTGCTATACGAGCGCAAGATCTGATTTTATATGTGCATAGCGCTCTGACACTCTTTCCTCAAGGATCAGAGACCCTTCTGGAAGGAGTCTAAGGCATCAAATGTGCGCAAGCGAATTTGTCGCTGCTGCTTGCCACCAAAGGGGTGCGGCTCGATGGCAGCCTCGCTCTTGTCCTCGCCTTCTGCATGCCCACCCGTGCCTTCTGACTAGCGGCACTAAGCTAGTCAGCGGGCCGTGGGGAAGACGCGTCGTTCAACCGGTGCCAGGCACTTCGTGTCTCCCAAAATGCGTGAAGAGACGGCGAAGACAAAGTCTTTCGGTATCGCTCTCATATATTCGATGAGGAGCGACTCGAGCACACTTTTCTCATCGGTAATCGGGGATTTTACGCATGAGCAAAAAGCAGATGTCACTTCCAGACACGACTGCGCCGCAGTGCTGCAGTTCGGGGGAGGATATTACCTCGATCCTTCAGCAGGGATAGGTCCGTGATTGGCTCAGGCAAGTTTAGCGCTTCCCAAGATCCCGTCCGCCTCTTTTCATGCCGGTCGTTCCATCCCCAAAACACTTCACGACAGCACATGTGCTTCCTGCCGCTCGGCAATTCGGAGTTAGAATCAAGCAGGTAGGCCCATTTGCGGGTCGGTTAGATAAGCCTGCAGTCCCTATCCTGATCCTTCGGCTTATGTCCGCGAACCGTAACATCGGAAGGACTCAACTTTGGTCATCGTTTCGAAGACATCCCTTGGTGAAATCTCGTTTATGCATGATGCCACTTTCAGTCAAATTCTAGACTTACAGCTATGAAGACGGCTCGCGTCTGAACCGGGCTGACGGTAGATTCGTCGAAAAGACTTGTCGCCACTTTGTCCCACCCCGCAAGAGATTTGTACATGGCTGAGCCGATTGCATGGACAATCAACTCTCATCTCTGTAAGAAAATGCACTTGGAAGTCGTCAGTCTTCGCTCTGAGGGAATCGTGAACATCTTAACATACGCAGTACGTAACGATATTTTCTGCTTACAAGGGTTTGTACTCAATATCGACGTCCATGTTCTGCTTTGCCTCACAGGTGCATTACTTGTAGGATCCTTCAGCCGATGGATCAAACATGAAGAACAGGGAAAGAAGGCCAGGGTGTGGGGGTACACATCACGTCGCGGTAAGTTCCAGGAGGTCGACGTGCGGACATGATCGTCTCTGTTATCGTTAAAGACTTAGCACTCTTGCTCCCTGTGCACAAAATTTCCATTCTCCAAGTACAATTTCGCAGCCTTTTAGTATGTCTTCGAACGGCCTCACCGAAACTACCCTTCGTGGTACTGCGATCGGACTCATGGTCGTGACGACTGCCATGGTTTTTGCGCGAGCTATACTACGAAGCGATCAGAAGAAATCCATCCAATGGGACGAGATCTGGTTGATTGTAGGATATATGCTCTTCATGGCTATTACCGGCGTCTACATCAATAAGACTAGTCTTTTATTTCGACTCCTAGCGGTCGAAGAAGGTCGCCTCGCCCCATACCCGAGTGTCAGCAAAGATGGATTCAATGCGCAGAAGACGTTCTTCTTTACTAGTCCAGGGTTATGGCTCACTTTGTGGAGCATCAAGTTTTCTCTACTGGCATTCTACAAGAGGATTATGGTGGGCGTAAAGCTGTACCTGACGCTGTGGTGGGTTGTACTTGCATACTGTGTGCTTGTGAGTTCCCTAGATCCAATACATTTTCCCGTGAATAACCTTCACTTACATCTCAATAGACACTGGTTCTATCCATTATGTTACACATTACTGCCTGTGGATCTTCACCGTCATCGTGGTTCGTAGAGAACGGATGTGGAGCCGACAACGTTCGAAAGAGCCTGATAAGCTTCTGGGAAGGATTTGCTGTGGACCTGTCAACAGATCTCATGAGTAGGTGCCCTCAATACCTTGCAGTGGGACGATATCCTGACGCATCCAACAGTAATGCTACTTCCAATCGGCATCATACGCAACCTTCAGATACCTCTAGCGCGCAAAATTCAGATCGGCGGCCTTTTTGCACTCGGCATCTTTGTCATCATCGCGAGCATTGTTCGAGTGATACAAGTTGGCGCAACGACTGGGGCAAGCAATACAACACCTTCATTGACATGGCTTGCTCTATGGAGTATCATTGAGTCATCTGTCGCTATCATGGTTGGCTGCGGTCCGGGTCTATACCGTAAAGCCAAGGCTGTCTACAGTAACACCCCAGTACATGCATACAACAGTCGCGGCTACATCAAGACTACAGCGGACAGGAGGCCAGAAACGAAAGGGAATGCAGATGACGAGTATGGCTTTCCGATGAAGACAATGAGCATCGATATCGCAGCTCGGGTCAGTAGAGGCGATAGTGAGGAGGAATTAGTTAGTCAAGAGATAAACGGTAAGATCCGAGTCACGAGGTCGGTTGTTGTAAGTCACAAAAGCGAGTAATATCGGAAGGGCTCAATTTTACTAGCTGGCTTGTCGCGCGGAGCCTCTTTACAAAGAATTCAATGCTATTGGACGTATCATTGGAAGAGGATCGTGATCATAGATTTCATGATTCGTCGCTACGTTGAACGTGACAAAGATACTGGAAATATACCCGAAATATCCCGTAAAGCTCTCTGAGAATGGTTGTTGTGAGTAAGGTTGCAAAGGAGAGGACATCCACATCTCGCGCGATCATCTTGCCCACCAACCACTGCGCAATTCGGTTCCAGATCATCAACAAAGACCTGAGCTAGGCGTTCTTGCTATGTTCTTCATCATCATCGTCTAGCAGATGACCTCTGAGATCGCTGTAGACCACGACAGGTATGCCTTTGGCCCACCAGATGTCCAAGCTGCCGTACCGCTCGAAGCACTCCTCGTTATAGAGCTGCAACACCCATCGATCCTCCTGGCTCAACTCATCCCATGGTTTCAAGTCTTCTGTCAGCGAAAGTCGGTTTATCTCCTGCTCGACCATCTCGCTGTCTTCGATATCATTGATAGGCTCGTCGAGAAGATCTCGGTAGAGTTGGACGAGGTCGGGTGTTTTAACGGGCTCGCTCCAGTTGGTAGTAACACAGGGAAACTTTGCACGTTCTCGATGCTTCATCATCTCGGCCTTGGCGATGAACGGAAGGGTGTGGATAGAGACATCGGTTCCGATTCCAGAACCGAGCGCTTGTATCATCCTCGGCAAATCATTGTCAAAGACGGTCACGAACTTCTGCTGGTTCAGAAAGGGCATCTGATTTGAGTATCGCTCGGATGCCTTTGTATAGTAAGCAGCCTCGATGCTCAGGTAATCTCTGATCTTGATGGCAGCGGGCTCGTTCGCGTTCGAGGCAAAAGCGATGGTTACGAAGGGATTCTTCACACCAAGACCACCGTAGGCTTGTGGGAGATGGATGATTGGCTCAAGATCTTGCAGACCATGCTCCAGCTCGCATGATACAAAAGGTCTGAGCATATTTGCAACCCATCTGGTTAAATCGCTGCCACCAAGAACGATAGAGTAAATACGCCTGTACGTTGCTTTGATCATTCCGGTGTGTTCTTTATTGAACACGTTGGCAAGGGGGCCGAGCAAATGGGCTGCATAAGTACCGACAGTATCATTCCATTCATGAACCCACTCGAGTACGGTTGAACACGACTTGAGCCTCAGACTTGCGTTGGCTGCATAGAGGGCGACTTTGGAATCGTCGATTCCGACTTCGATGCCGTGTGGTGAGTTTACCTGAAGGTCTATATCCAAGAATCCGATGGACAGCTTGTCAGTGGAGAAGAGACTGCGGAATTTCAATCCCATAACGTTGGAAAAATCAACAATTACTTCCTCAGCATGGCTAATTTGTACTTGCGTGCCAACAAAGTAGCAGTGGTCATGTACACGGTACATGTACGATCCTGTTGCCTTGCGTATGGCAAGATCGAGGAAGAAGAGTACGGCTTCGCTGAAGAAAATCTCCATGGAGTAGCCAAAGGAAACTCCACTTTCAGGCGTCATAGTTCTAGCCGCTTTCTGAGTAGAAGACTCAATGCTCAGCTTGGGCCTGAGAGCGCGGTTGAAGAGGCTGAGAAAGACGTCCGGAACACCAAGAAATCTCAACACCGTGATGATGGTACAGTGCGGCAATGTAGAGGCCAACGGATCGAAGTCCAGGGTTAAAGCGTTGACTTCGCCATCGAAAGCCCTGCGTATCTTGCATTCCACAGCCAGGGTTTTGATCAATCTTGCCTGGATGTCTTTCGACGAAGTCATCTTAGGTACGTCGCCATCATGTTTGGGCAGACGTGACATGAAGAAGTGCCGTTGGTAGTCATCTCGTCGTACACTTTCAACGTCCGTGAGCATGTCTGGTGGCGGCGGAGGAGGATACATATGGATCACATGGGGCGCTGGGGGTACAATTGGGGTGAGACGCATGGTTCGAGGCTTCGTCTTACTCCTTCTGCATCCCTTTTTGGATTCGGGTGGTGGTGGAGGAGGACAAGGAGGACCCGTGTATCCACAAGGCGGTGGAGGCATAAATGAAGTATTGTCGAAGAAGAAAGCCCTCTTGTCGGCGTCTGCCCTTGCAAGTGGGGCGACTTCGAACGCTTTGGACTTATCAAAGTAGTCCCTGAGACATTCATTCAACTTCGTCGCCCATCTGATTGCACAGCAATGGAGGAACAGCATGTCGATAACTTCAACCTCAACGTTGACGTAGTGCTGTCCACGGATTGTCTTGCGTGTATCGACTGGTAAACCCACTTCTGCGTTCTTGTAATTCCATTCGCGATAGCCCCTCGTGTTCAGCATTGCAGTTACCTCCAGTAACGCGTCTGGCGACTGCAGATAATTGATCAGGGTCTCTCTTCGCTCCTGGCTGATATGCTCTGATCGAATCAGGTCCGTGATGATCCATTTCAGAGTTTCTTGATCGACTTCAATGTTTCCGTTGCTAAGATCACTTCCGTATGCTCGCATTCCGTTGCGAATAGCTTGCAAATGGTCTTCTTCGCCTGCGAATAAGCCCGAAAGATATTCATCAATCGAGGAGCTATCCACAGTTGTCTGCTGCGAACATGTCCTCACAAAATCTTTCAGAGCATCTTCACGGTCGTCATCAACAACCTCGAAATCATCTTCCACGGCCATGTCTTCAAGAAGTCTGGTAGCTGTCGTGTCGGTGTACACGTCTATAGCCTCTTTCATGAGTCGCGAATGTAGGCACGATACTTCCATGCGATTGCGGAACCTGCTCAGCTTATCGAGGAGAGCTTTTTCAAGCTTCAGCAGCTTGTTCTCGGTAACGATTCCGCCATCACGGGCTTGTTCAATACATCGCTTGGTGGTTTCTGATGTCCAGATGCCATCCTCCTTGTCGAACTTTGGATCAAGGTTCTCGATATCCTCCAAAAGCCTTTCGATTCGTCTGATAACACTGGGCTCTTCAGACTGCTTCGCATCTAGGAGATATCGCTGCTCGAAGGACTGTTTGGTATGTTCCAGCTCCTCCAGGCGGAGCTCGACCGCCTGTCGAGTGATCGGCGTGATTGCAAACGATGGCATGTTGTCTTGAATAGATGCCAAAATTGAGTGAGTAGCTGATACTCGAAGTTGGCTGAGAAAGCTGCTGTTTATCACTTAAGTTTGCTCACTTTGTGTCGCCAAGTCCGACCCAAGCACGTAAGTCGCTGCATGGTGAGGTAGTCATCAGGCATCACGCATTTGGAGGCGAATGAGACACAGATTTGAGGGTACACAAGATTAGTGTGCATGTTGTGGCAGGTCAACAGAAGAGGCCGTCCAGTGGCCATTTGCGACCCGTCCACGCAGGGTTAGCTCCAGAGCTTTCCCCGCACTTTCATCGGTCGCGACCATAGCATGCCAATCATGCTTAACATGAAGACACACCTGGGAGCGTGACTTCGCTGCTTGATTCTGTGAACACGCGCATCTTTGGTTGCTTTTGCTCAACACATCGTCATTGCCGTCACATGATGCTAAGGATGACGGATACCGGGTATATGTGGGTCTCATCCCACCTTAGTTTAGCTATGTAGGCCTAATACATGCGATTATTCTCCATCCACACTGTACAATTGCCTACAATACTATTTCATTTTGACACTGCCCTTCGGCCTACTGAGTAGCATATGTGGTGCAGACCCTCGCAACTTCTAGGCAGCAAAGCTTTACTACCACGAAGGAGCAGAGATTTCCAGATATAATCGCCACCCTTATGTTGTGCTCTATTTGTCAAAATGCGCTCCAAATATTTTGGGAAATAACAGAGGGCGAGATTGCTCACCACCCTTCACTTACCAGCCTCGCACAAGCTATCGAAGAAGGCTGTTTCCTATGTTGCTGTTTAGAAGACTGCTTGGAGTACCACGACATTGACATGAAACAGCCTGATCTCGATCGCTGTACACGATGGCGTGTGTATGAAAACGATCCGAATTGGAGTGTGAACGATGTTCGCTGCTTTGATGTATGTTCCTGGGACAAGGACCATCCCGATCATGCAGAAGTCCAATCGCAATGCTTCTCTCTAAGATCTAATTTCATCCGCGCTGACCCTGCCAGCTCGTCTGAACAGAATATGGATAGCTCTCTGTCGATCTTCTCAGACTTTACGGGCTCAGACCAGACGATATCGCAGATAAAAAAATGGCTTGAGATATGCACATCAACGCATGATTCATGCGGCCACCAGCGCAAGAACCTATGGATGCCATCGCGTTTACTCCAACTTTGTGACCTGGACAAAGAACCCAAAGTTCGCTTACGGAGCAGTTCAGAATTAGAGAGCGAACGTTACCTCACTCTCAGTCATTGTTGGGGCGCTAAGGGCAGCCAAAAACTGCAGCTCACCAAGGAAACTATCGAAGATTTTCACCGAGGTATTGCTGTTTCAACCCTGCAAAAAACGTTCCAGGATATGGCCAATGTCACTGCTCGTCTTGGGTTCCAATACTTTTGGGTAGACTGTATGTGTATACTGCAGGACGATCCCGAAGACTGGAGACGCGAGTCTAGTTTAATGGGAACAGTGTACGCAAACAGCTGGCTCAATATATCTGCCACATGGGCAACGGACAGCAGCTATGGTTGCTTCACCCACCGCGATCTTTCGCGAGACTATCTCCACGTGGAAGAACCCATGAATGGGTCGGAGAAGAAGAAGAACTGGATATTGACGTCGACATATGACTGGTCGGGTCAGGTAGAGCAAGCGCCAGTGAACGAAAGGGGTTGGGTCTTACAGGAGCGCATCCTATCTCCCCGCATTGCGCACTTTACGGGAACTCAGGTCGCTTGGGAATGTCAGCAGCTGCAGGCCACAGAGACATCTCCTGATGGAATTATACTTCAGCAGGCCTTGTACAAACAATACCGGTATAATATCGCCATCGACAATTCTATCAAGCACGACGGCCATGAAGATACCGAGTACTATTGGAGTCGTATACTATACAAGTACACATCGTGTCAGTTGACTTTCAGTACTGATAGGTTGATCGCCTTATCTGGAATCGCACGAAAAATCAATGAAAGTAGACCGTCCGATTATATGGCGGGTCTATGGAGCAAAGACCTGCCTCACTGTCTCCTGTGGACGCTATGGGACCCAAGTCCTCAACCGAAAACCTATGTCGCCCCTTCTTGGAGCTGGGCATCTAGATCGGGAGAAGTTATCAGTTCCGGATTTGCAGATCGAGACAACTCGACTGCGTACATGACAGTGCTGGACTATGCCATAACACTCCGCAACCCAGAGGATCCATATGGTCAGATAACAGACGCATCTATCAAAGTGCGAGCGAGATTGGGAATTGCGAGGTGGAGTGGAATGGAATATTTAGAGAAGCAAGGCGAATGTTCTTCCATCACGCTATTGGTGCCTGTCGCACATTGCAGAACGGAAACTTCTACGTCGACATTAAGATTCTGGGAGGGTGCAATCGTTCTTGATCATGATGGGGATTCTGATTTGGAGGAAGCATATTTTGCAGGTGTAAGCACAAACCTTGGGTTTCCGGTGGAGGAAGTGAATAAGAGTGAAAGTAGCAAAACCACAACGACATCTCAGCGCGACATATATCTAGGGGGGCTACTGCTCCGGCGTCTTCCGTGCTCGCGGTTCGAACGTATAGGACTCCTAAGGTTGGACTTGCATCACAATGATGACCCTTGCGTTGACCTACCGGAACAAGAAATCACCATCATCTAGAGGAAGATAGTCAAGTATGATCGGAGCGAATCAGTCATGAACATGTGCTTCATCAAAAAAAATTTGAACTCCTAATCATGACCGTGATTCATCGCCATTCAAAAACGCCAGCAGACCTTCATCAACGTCGTCCATAAGCACCCGCCTCCGCCCTCCTCTCCGTCCTCTTGAAGCCCAGACTTCCCGCCTTCCTACTCTTCCTAACAACCTCCTCCCCTCTATCGTCATCATCGTCCCCATCCAACACCTTCCTCCTGCCATACATTTCCATATCCTTAGCATCATCATCATGCTTGCGATCATACTCGCTCTCCCGACTAAACAACGCCATCATATCCTTCATCGTCAAGTTCTTAATCGCCTTGCCACCTTCGATGGCTGCATTAGCGAGTTTACGCTTGGCTTCTTGTAATTCGAGAATGCGCTCTTCGACGGAGTTATGGATGGAGAGGCGGTAGACTGTTACGTCGACGGTCTGGTTGAGACGGTGGACACGGTCGATGGCTTGTTCTTCGACGAACTGTCGATGTGCGTTAGCAAGCCGTTTTCTCGAGAGGGGAGGATAGGAGAGTACTTACGGGGTTCCAGAATGGCTCCATGATGACAACGCGACTTGCGGCTGTGAGGTTGAGACCGAGACTACCGCATTTCAAACTGCAGAGCAGGACGCGTGTACGCTTATCTTCACGTAACTTCTGGAGACTTGCTTCGCGGAGATCGTTACGCATGCTGCCGTCGTAGCGGGTGAAGTTGTAACCTGCGCGTTGCAAGAAGGGTTCAATGAGGTCGAGCATGGAGGTGAATTGCGAGAAGACGATGACCTTATGTTCATCAGTCTCCTTTTCGAGGATGGCGAGTAGTTGCCGGATCTTCGTTGATGGTACTAGGTCCGAGGCGTTGTAGGAAGCTTCTGAGGTCTCGGATTCGGAGGCCGAGGCTTCTGAGTCGGACTCAGAGTCTGAGGCGTCTGAATCACTGCCGCTTTCGCTGTTGGCTTCCTCACTGTCTGCCTCTTCATCTTCTTCATCAGAGTCAAGGCTGATGACCTTTTGTGGCTTCTTGAGTAGCTTCTTACGAGCAACAGGCGCTTCGTCTTCGCTGTCAGTGTCATGAACGACGAAAGAATCCAGATTGCTCCTGCTCTCATCCTCATCCGCAGATGTATCTGAGTCGACAGTAGCAAGCGTATCGCCGCCTCCTTCAGCATTCTCATCGTCGGTGCCGCCAGCCTTGCCCAAATCTTCAGCATGTTGCTGGTCCTCAGGAACGAGCCATTCGCCCTCCTCTTCTTCGTCGTCACTATCGACAACGACGCGGCGATTGCGGGAATGCTTCGAGGCGGCTGGTTTTTGCTCCTCTTCTTCGTCATCGGACTCTATGACTGGTTTCGCTTGCCGGTGCGTTTTGGACTTGCCATCCTTGTGCTTATGTTTGCGGTCTTTCTTCGACTTGTGCCTAGTATGCATTAGTATATGGCATTATCGAGACTCTGCTGGATGCTGGCTTACTTCTTGGACTTCTTGGTAGACCCTAGAAGATCTTCTTCGCACTCCGTACAACGTGCTCCACCGGCAGCTGTGTTACCACTATTGAGGTGGTTCTGGCATATGTCACAACGCTTTGCCGCAACGCTGAGTCCACCTAGAAGATCTGCTAGGTCATCGGCATCGTCTTTGGCTGCAGCCTTCCTAGGAGTCTGGAGGCCAGCTGCAGCATTCGAATTTGAACCGGTAGTCAAAGCGTCCTTGTCACCCTTGACATTGCTCTTTGTGAGGTTCGGATGATTACAAGCCTGGCGCAGGCGAAGGAGCAACACCAAAGCTCCAATATAATCCTGCTTCTCACCACCCATCATCTCGTCAAGACGAGCTTGTGTGCGATCTCGTAACCGGTCGTAGAAGATGCGCTCTTTAGTCGTGAACTCTCCTATGATGGTCTCGACGTTTCGCGCAACAATGTGGAAAGCCGGTCGCTCCTCACCTTCCTTAGCTTTGCCACCGAAGCTCAATGCACCGTCGTTGCGCAGTACATCCTTCGTGCGACGCTTCATAAAAGCACGCAGGAATACCTGCAGTCGCTTCATAGCAAGGTTGCCTCGACCGTTCTTCATTGGTTGCGCTATAGAGTCCTTCCAAGCCGAAAGCTCACAGTACGGTTGTATACGAAGGAACTTGATCAAACTCTGTAGCTCGTCGATGTTGTTCTGCATTGGTGTACCAGTAAGGCACCATCGGTAATGCGAGCGCAGCTCGTAACAAGCCTTGGCCATCTTCGTGGTGCGGTTCTTGATGGTATGCGCCTCGTCCAGCATGATGCGATACCATGACACGGCGAAACAGCCCTTCTTTAGACCATCGGGGCCGTCACCACATTTCGCAAAGTCGGTCGCCAAGCTGTTGAACGTGGTGATGACGACGTCATATTGCTTCAGCTTCTCGGCTGACTCTGTGCGGTTGGGGCCGTGGTGTACGAGGACTTTGAGAGCGTGAGACTTGGTGACTTTGTCCTTGATCTCGGCTTCCCATTGCTTGATCAGTGCTAGTGGAGCAATGACAAGAGTGCCCTTGCCGGTGGAATCAGAGATCTTGTTCTTCTTGTTCTCTGGCTCTACGCCCTTTTCCGGTCGAGGGTTTGAGAGAATGAGCGCAAGAGACTGTACAGTCTTTCCGAGACCCATGTCATCTGCTAATATACCGCCCTTTGGCAACTTGGCCTTCTTGTTGTGATTGCCAGTCTCCTTCTCGATCATCCAAGCCACACCGTCGACCTGATGAGGCAAGAGCTTCACTTTGAGACCTTCCACTGTGCCGTCATCTTCTTCTTCTTCCTCTTCAGGTTCAGCCTCGGCTTTAGTTTCCTCGTCCTTAACGGCAAGCGCTTGTAACCGGTCAGCTAGAGAGTTGCCAACGTCTTCGTCTTGTTGCTTCTTCTTCTTACGAAGACGCGTCCTGGGAATCTTCTCGTTTTCTTCATCAAAAGCGCCCTCAAGTAGCGCCTTGATGTTCTCGCTAGTCGCAGCAGGGTCGACGTAGGCGTATGGATCTGGCTCGCCAAATCGACTACCCTCTCTTCGGATGGCCTCATCTGGGTCGAAATTGTCTTCATCGTCCAATATCACCGTCTGGCGCGCTTGTTGTAGCGGGTTGTGTGTTCCTTTGTTCAACGGCGCGAAGTTATCGGCGTGGCCCATAGAGGAATAGATCGGTCGAGGAGGTGGAAGACTAGTCTTGGCTGCGGGGTTGTATGGTCGGGCGATAGGTACAGGGCCGCCTTGGGACGGTCTGGGTTGGAACTGGGAGGCGGGAATTTCGAAGATGTCTGAACCAGTCGACGAGGTAGACGCCGTGCTGTATCGTGAACTTGACGACATAGACGGGACCTTGAAGGGTCGCTGCAGAGGATCGGTACTTCCGCTAGCAGCTGAACTCTGCGACGGTCTAGAAGCTGCAGAGTATTGCGACGGTAGCTTGGTCGTCTGACTATGCTCCGGCCGCATCTGTCCAGGCTTGGGCTTGTTGAAGAGGTGAGCAAACTCTTTGCTGCGGTCCTTCTTCAGAGGGTTCCTCAACGGGCTAGTCTCTCCAAACTGTGGTGCTGTATTTCTGAGGTCTTGTAGAGGCTTTGGTGGGGGCGCCGTTCCATCTCGTGGTGGGGGAGCCACGGGAGGCTCTCGCTCACGCACCATCTTGAGTCTGTGTTGGAGGTCGGCCTTCTGTTTCGTGTGGCTCGCAGGGCTCTCGATGTCGTCGAAGAGGTTGCTCGAATCGCCGAGTAGGGAAGTCGACTGTTCGTGAGGGTAGTCGCTATCGTCGGATGTGTACGTGGGCTTGGTGGCCGCTGGTGTCTTGAAGGCAGGCTTCTGGGCGGAGGAGAAGGTATCGATAGGTCGAAAAGGCGCACGGTATTTTCGCTGGGTGCTTTGGCTCATCGACTCATCCAGACCGGTCGCTTTGTTGGTGTTCCTGCAAACTGACTGTTGTCGCGACGAGTGTGCCCCTCGTGTTGTTTGCCAAATTAGGCGCTCCACTCGACGCACGTTGCCACGACGAAGGGTAAAAGTGGGGTCCTCAACACGTGGGACACGCGTAAACAACGACGCGCTATCACAGGATCTACACTATCAGCTTCAGGGTCTACCCACACCACGGGTGCCTAGTAGACACGTCATCAGCCCTTTCTTGGATACGATGGCATGAAAGCAGGGTGGCCGTCTTAGATTGGCTTCGCCGAAGACAATGTAAGACGGCGGCCTCAGGCCAAACTGGCAGTCTTCTAAAGCTGGCATCACAGTGGATCAATCGCCGGTTCGCCTATGCCTATCAGAAAGACGTTCAGATAATCCTGTCTTTACCCCAATCGGAAACGCACTCAACAGCTAAAGCTACAACTATAGTGCACTGGAGGCTTGCTATACCTGAATGTTCGCCCATTACATCTTCACCCAAACATCCTCCCGTTTCTGCCGCCTCTTCGCTTCACGTGCAGCCAATATGATGAGCCCTCCAGCCACTAATACACTGCCCGAAAATGCCTGTGCTCCAGCATATGATCCCCCACTCGATGTAATGATAGCGCCACATACCGGAGAACCCAGTAACGCGCCAATTCCAATAGCCGCGAACACAATGCCAAACGAGGCTCCCATCTTAGACGTATCCGAGATAATGATGGGGACGATCGCTAGGGAGAGCGACTGGACTCCTCCGACAGAGAGACTGTAGAAAGTTGTCCACGCGTATAGCCCGGGAGTCGAGTGTACCGGTATCCAGGTATACATGCATAGCGCAGAGCAGAAGATGAATGTTATGTAGACATTCATAGTACCGCAGTACCGGGCAATCAGGCTGGGTAGCAGCCGACCTGCAAATCCGATGCCATTCAGAACCAAGGTAAGGTTGAGAGAGTCGGTGTATGACATTCCCCGCTTCTCTCGCGCATACGAACTGAGGAAGAAGAATGGGAAGAAGACGCCCAAGAAGGCCTGCAGTTCTGTCAGTGGTGTGAGTGGGAAGGCATAATGTCGACAACCTACCAAAAAGGATCCTACGAGGAGTAAGTTGAATGCAGTCTCCCTAAAGACCGACACATCCAACAGCGGACCCGACTTCCGCGCTGCTCTCTTCGGCTTCCCACACACCAGCGCAACCGCAAAAGTACCCAACTGTATAAACCCGATCGCTCTCAATGTCCATCCAAAGCCAATACTCGGCAACAGCGTTCTCACCATACTAGGGTAAATGAGTCCCCCAGTCACACTCCCACACGCCGCGATGCCCGTAACAAGCGGCAGCCTTCTCTTGAAAAATGTCGTGACAAGCGTCGACATGGGCGTAAGCAAACACCCATTCCCAAGACCCGTGCAGACGCCCTGTGCGAGGAGAACTTGCCAGTAAGTCTCGCTCAGAGAAGTCATGAAAGTACCTAGTACAACCAGAAACGCACCAGTGGCTGTGACATAGCGGTAGTGGCCTGCGTCTGTGAGACGCCCGCTGACGATACCGGTGAAGAAGAGGAGGAAGACGGCTATGGAGCCTACCCAGGCGATGTCGGACCGTGTTTTGTGGAGTGTGGAGACGTAGTAGGTTTGGAAGACACCGTAGGATATTATCATGCCCCTGTCTCGGTCGTTAGTAGAGTTTGGGTGGTTGGATTTGGGGAGTCTGTTACGCACCATGTGTTCATGATGGCGAGGAAGAAAGCCACGACTGTCAGGAGTGATAAATCAGCATCTCAGCGAACCGACTGTTGGCGACCTTGCAACTTACCTGCCAGCCAGGCTACTAGACCTCCTTCGGGTGTTGCTTGAGCAACTTCTCCCTCATGAGGTTGGTCCTTGACACTCACCCTCGAAGCCGCTGAAGTCGCCGACCCTGCATCCTCATGTACTGCTTGGTCATGATCCGGTGTTGTCGAGGATACCTTGCTCTCATCGTCTCCTACAGTTTTGCTCCCAAACATGATGTGCTTATCTCTGACTAAGTTCGCCAGAGAAGGAGTGTTGATCTGATGAAAGTTCTGCAAGGAGATGCTTCTCAGTCGTGCCAGGGGTTGGAACTATATATGATGAATGGCTCACACCATTGATGAGATGAGAGATTTCCTCACTTGTCCGAGAAGTTCGTACGAATTGATAATCAGGTACTAAGGCCAGGCTTTGCTCGATGAAATGCAGTTTCTTAGGTGTAGATAGATTTCGCGCTATCCTCAACGTGGTACCATATGCCGATCCACAAGTCTTTTCACGTACACAAAAGCTCACAGTCTCTTGCTCGCTGGCACACCTCGTAGGATCGTGTTCACAGACTGATGGTCAGACTTTTCCACTCCCTTGGAGGTTTTATTGCATGCATTGCTGGTCATCCTGTGCAAAATTGCCACCCCAGTTCTTGAAAGTTCAAAAAGTGCGTTCGCGCAAATAATCACTCTACTCTTACACTGTGTAGTGCTTTGTTGGTTAGGAAAACATATGCTTTCTCAGGCTTCATCGCCAAGTGAGCCCCTTTTTCTAACACACGCATCACACATACTGCTGGACATGCTCATGGAAAAGATGGGTCATTGTGTCTGAAGGAAGCTGCATACCTTGAGCAACCTCTATAAACATCGCTATTAGGCACTCTAGATTTTAATATGCAATTCAAAATCTGATTTTACATGAGTGGTATTCCTATATATCTCCAACTCAATTGATCTCCACAGCCTTGCCAGGGTTCAGCCAACGGACCTTCTCCAGGACGCCCTCCTCTTTAAATTCCTGCGCGAGTTCATTTCCACCTTGTTTGAAATGATCCCACGACTCGTAGTGCATAGGAACAAGCACATCTGCCTTAAGGTCCTTCAGGAGACGAGCAGCCTGTCGGCCATCCATGGTGATTTGTAAAATATCACCTGGCTGACCCGGCTTTCCCTCATCGGTGAACTCGTAAAAGGTTGCTTTACCGCAATTCATGAGCGCGACGGCGATGTGGTATCTGTCTGCGATCTTCGCCAGCTCCTCGATGTATACGGTGTCACCAGAGAAGTAGATGGCGTTCGGGCGACCGTCAGCTGCCACTCCAAAGTCCTCAGTGTGTACAACGAATCCGACGCATTCGTGTCCAGGCCAGTGCTTGCAGGGCGTGGCAGTGATGTGGAACATTTTTCCTGCGATGCGAACATCTCTCTCTTGCCAGTCGCTGAAACCAAGAACACTGGGCCGGGGGGCGAGGTTCTTTGCGCCATCGTTGGTTGTTACTACGTGACGGCCGTCGAGGAGTCGGCGTCCGAACTCATCGAGGTTATCGGGGTGGTTCTCGTGACTCAGGAGAACGGCGTCGATGTGCGGTAGTTCTTCCAGCTTCAGAGCCGGGTCATCGTGGACTTTGAGGGCTGCGACGTCGTTCCACTCGGTACCGGCAGGGGAGAAGAAAGGGTCGGTAAGGAAGATGATGCCATCAATATCGAGGATGGCAGTAGCCGTTCCTATATGTGTGATGCTGACTTTGTTCTTGAACGTGGAGGCTGACATGTTTCAGTGTCTATATCTTGATGCTATTTGGAGAGGAAATTGCCGATGATAGACAATGTGTGGAAGACAGAGTATCTGGCTGGCGTCTTTCGATGCACTGCAGTGCAGCCACTGGCTTTATGCCAAATTTCATCAGTGATAAAGTCCATGGTGAATTCTAGTTTTGAGCAAGTCGAACGCTGATGAATAATGTACTCTCTTGCTTTATCATCAGCAAAAAATTCTCACGCGATTATGATGAGTCTTGGTAAAGTGAATAGGAAACGAGATCGATGTCTGGGTGTTGTGACGCTATAGCTGCAGGCGCTAACATCAATCCAGTGTAACGTCGGAACGGCTCTAACATCTGCATAGCTAAGCCGGCGCTAGGCTCAAAAAGGCAGCATTACTTCCTGCAATGCGCCTGCGTCACTGAGCTCACTGCCTTACATCCCAACGTTCAAGCGACACCTTCTCAGCTAATCTCATCGTAAATCAGCTCTTTTGGTGGTGCCCCACCCTACACTATTCGCTTCAGGAGTAAAAACCCGAACCCGATCTCTACTTTCCGATTGCGGTAGTATATCGCGGTCGCTTATTTGCTCACCTGTGCGTACCTCTGCCATGAAGGTCAGAAAAAAGAATCTCTGTGACACTTGCCGCAAACGCAAACTCCAGGTCTGTTCATATCTCTCTTTATTTTCGGAGCAAGTAGGCTAATTCTATTGGCCCTGGAACAGTGCGACGGAAAACGTCCATCATGTACTCAATGTGTTTTCAGTAATCGAACATGCGAAGGATACCCGGACGCCCTATTTGTACCCTTCGTTGCCACCAAAGCGGCAGTAAAGCCAAGAACTGCGCGTCCAAAATCGGTATCGCGGACAGCACAGTCGGTCTCGACGTATGCGCGATGTCCCTCCGCTGCTAAATCGGGTTCGGTTCAGGATAAAGATTCACCTATACCTTCCCGAAACGACACCAATTTATCTGGTGGTTCGCCTTCTCCAAATCGATCTTACACCCAGGGTCTTGCTACGATACAAGATAAAGTCGCGTTAATCTTGCGCAACTTCATTCCCTTACACGAGTTGGAGTTCAACTCGGCAGACGCGACTGAGCAATGCTCGCGGTTCTGCGGCTCCTGGGCGAAAGCCCTACCCGAGCTGACCGCTGATATGACTGGCCCTTTTGCTCAATGTTTAGATTCAGCCGTCAGTGCTTTAGCACTATCCATAACCGCTTATCGAAATCGCCAGAATCTCCTAGATGCTATAGTCGCGCAATACGAGGAGAGTCTTCACCTCCTAGGGCAGAGTCTTGCGGCTGCAGGAAACACTTGCAACAGTAAAATTGTAGCAGCAGTTATGTGCTTGGCGCTCACAGAGGTATTGTCACCCACTCAGGAGTCCAGTTGGCTAGTACATGTTGAAGGTGTCAGCAACATGGTACATCTTATGCCGCCCGGATCCTTCGCATCTGGTATCGAGCACATTATGCTTATGGGCTTCAGGCCACTTTTGGTGAGTATGCAGCTATGTTGACAGATTCTCCGGTCTAATTGTTCTATGTGCCAGATACTAAGAGCCTTCATACATCGCAAGCCCACTTTTTTCGCGGACGAACCATGGCTCACACTACCCTTCCAATACCATCAACCTGCTCCATTGCAGAGTTTACTAGGTGCCGCTGCACACATCCCTGGTGTTCTGGAAAAAGTCGATGTTATTCTACCTCGTTCCTGCGATCGCGCGGCAGCGACTGCTGATCAACTCATCACAGAGCTATTGGCGAGCATATTACGCCTCAAGACGTGGCATAACTCGTTCTTGGCAAGTACTCCGGAGGTACTATACTGTTCTCGAAACGTAGAACACGATTTTGGTGGTACTTTCGAATCGCTATGGTACCCAAGTCTCGGTATCGCCAACATGTTTGTCTACTTTTGGGCTTTCCAGCTTCTTTGTCTTAATGAGATTCGAGATTTGTTGGACCGGTTCCCACATTTGAAGCATACGGTGCATGATGGCGCAGCATACAGCGCAGAGGCTTTCCGAGAAGAGTGCCTTGAGCTTAGCACCTGCATATACAAGAGTATGGAATATTTGTTACGGACAGATTTTATGTTGTATGGAATCTCGTCAGCAGGGTTTCCGTTGAGCATAGCATACAAGACGCTCCAGTCGGACGCTGAAGGTCAAGCAATTCTGGAATCACTCGACCACTCGATCATCACTCGGTGCAAAATCAGGGGTGTGGGAGATTGTGCAGACGGCCTTTGCTTATGACGCATTAAGACCCTCGGTTGCACGGATAACCAGCGCTTATGCCAAGGAAAAACAAAGCATGTGGCGCATTCGATTTGCCATTGGCAAGAAGAACAAAAGATAATACGACTTTGATCTTGTCGCAGATGTCATTCACTGGAAGCAGAATTAAGAGTACATTACAAGCATCTACCATCATGGCAATCATCGTCTACGTCTCAAGACGAGCACCGGATCAGTTGTTACACTGCGCACCGTCCGTCATGTTAATCTCGGTATATACCAGATGATCTTGGTTGATGAAGCCAACAGCAGTACCCTTGTTGCAATCAGGAGCTTCTTGACCGTAGCACCGGAACGTGGTTGCGGCACTCTGTGTTCCACCGATTGGTTTAGTGTCCAGCTCATAGATCTCGGTGCGCGTGTGAACGAAGCCCATAGGGGTGAGTGGTAGACCAGGTACACCGTCGATGTGGTGCGTGATGCGAATGAGGCTGCCGAGTTGAGAGTCGCTCGCACCAGACAGCTTGTCAGTGAAATCAGCGTATTGTTGGTTGCCGACACGGAGTGAGCCCATGGTGTATGCGGCTTTTACGGGAACACCGTTGGACTTGAGGTCTGTGTAGGCGATACTTGCTAGACCGCCTCCCAGGCTGTGTCCGACAATGATGGTTGAGTAACTTGGTTTCTCGGCACGGAGTTCAGCAAGCGCCGTTGTCAGGTCTTCTTGAACGGAGCGCCACCCGTTAAGAACACCGCCGTGGACTTGGCAGCCGGTGCAGCCTGGTGCAGTATCAAAGGGCATGAAGAAGAAGTTGAAGTCCGTTCCGAAATCTTGGACTGAACTTGTGCCAGGGAAAGAGACGATGAACTCTTTGGCGGCATCATCTTGGAATACAGCGACTTGAGTGTCGGATAGAATATTGTTGACTGTGCGAACGAGTTTTGATCCAAAGGGCGGGCTTTTGCATGTTCCGAATCCGTACACGAAGGTTGCGAGTGATGCTACTGCATATCTGGTGTATCGTTGCAGAACTGGGTAGAGCTCGGGTTGGACTGTTGAGGTTAGTGATTGAAGATTGAGAACATGATTGATGTGGCATACTGAGTTCCCTAGGTCTTGTTTGTCTGTCAACGAGCTGACGAAGGTCAGCCGGAGCTGCTTGAACGATAGGCGCAGCAAGCGCAGCGGCAACAGCGAAGGTGGTGAGCTTCATGACTATGTGATGATCTGCTTCTCAACAACAACTCATCCACGAGAACGCCATCGTGTTATATACACATTCCTCAACACGGAGTAAATCCCACGACTCAGCGCAAGAGTTGAGCCGAGGGACAAAAGCACGCTCTAAACACCCACCCTCTACAGCCCACGCATCGCGTGCCATGTAGATCGCCCCTATGCGAAGCTACCAGCTGTCAGGTACAGAGCGTTGCTTGGATGACAGGTCTCGCGCCATCCAATGTTTTTGCTCTAAAAGGGGTCTGATGCAGCCCGGTGGCGCAGAGTGATCGTTGTGACAGGTTGGAAGCGACGGCTTTGAGGATTTAGGGCGTGTAGCGCACAGCCGATCGGCCTGTTCGCACTTCTTTTTGCCGCTGCGCCTCCATATTAGTGTATCGAAAACCACAATATAAACTTCTTAGCCTCGGGTTTGCGCTCTTTAGCAAATGTAGGGCGCGCGGGAATGGCCGGCAGCACATGGACGGAGTGGGATATGGGGGATCGCTCCAGGCTTTGTGAAGATCGACCCCGCACTTATTCTCATCGCGGTTGACAAGCCGGGTCGACTTGCCGTTTGGTGGCTCTGCACGCTACAACGCTGCTACTACAGTGTCGCGTGGTTGTACATACATAGTCGGAGTACTACCCGCACCTGTCCGGCGATTCGATGAAGGCTCATGGCGTCGCGACGGAGAATTTTTCGGTGCAACTAAAGGAGTGAAGCTAGAAGATTTAAGGGAACATGCCCGCTCAGAATATCAGGCCAGATGTTGAAGAAGTTGGGTACTTGGATATTCGCAAGGAACAAAGTTTGATTCCGGCGTTACACGGGTCGGAACTACAGGTACGCCGTCATCGGAGATTTCCTTTTGCTAGTACATCCTACTACAACGCGGTTCTAGAAAATATATAGATACCTCGGCTCTCCAGACTCGACTATCTTTCCACGTTGCTTGACACTACGGCTTTGAGAATGACAAATGCCGCGGGCGCAAGCCTAGGAGCTGTCTCCGCGATCTGAGGACTGCCTCTTGCGATCACCAGACAGGTTTTCATCTTCACCTTGCATGAAGCGTTACATAACAATAAACAACATCAAGAACATATCCCAGCATGGTAATAGTCCCATACTATATCCATATCCCTGTATCGGTGGCTTCACGCACGAAGTATCTGTCGAATCCGGTCAGCAACTGATCCAATCAAAGTTTATTATGAGTAAACATCGAACAGAGCCATGAACTTGCACATCAAGCTATGCTTTGGTTGAGCGGGCACAGAATGTTTTAGCAAGTCTCGTAGTCACAAAATACACAGTTCAGATACTAGGAAACAAGCCAAGCTCTATCCTTTGAAGGACAAACGTAGTAGAAGATGGGACATCTTGAACGGCCGTGCCCTACATTTTTACGAGAACAGTTTGACGGAACTGCAATGTCGTCTATTCAATCCTAATCTGGCCAGGCATCTTCGAGAAACTATATGCTACAAATAAGACCAGTACTCCAGAAACAGGAAGATAAAGACAGTACACCAAACGAACAACATCATAAACAAGTCACGATCTATCTGAATCCAAAAGAACAACAAAGACCCCACAGGGAGTCTGCATTCACAATACAGTCTTATCGTCATACTTCCCCCGCTCTTCCCCTAATGTCTCCTAGCTTAATATTGTCATCCATTTCGAACAGACGTCGATTGTCCGCAGCCATTAATCCGATAGGTTTTGTACCCAGTTCCTCCTCGTCAATATTCTCAGGTGTGACAACGCCCGTATCCATTCCGCTAGGACTGGCCTTCGCGCTACCCGCCACCTTCTTTGGCTTGAGCCCATATGCCGTGTTAAGCTCCTGGCGCATCTTATACTCCTTCTCAAACCATGTCAAGCAGAAGCCCAGGCCAGCGAGTATAGCGAAAACGATCCACACACACTTGAGACTCTTGGTGAAGGCGTTGACAATCTCAACCTTGATTATTGGGGATGTAGCTTGTGTGGCGATGAAAGAAGCGGTTGCGCGTTGGTAGGCTTGCCCGTTGGCAAGTTTAGCGCGGGCAGATTCAGAAGAGATTGTTTGGAGAAGGCAAGCGAAGCGGACGTTAAAGACGGCACCAGGAATCGCGACACCAAAGAGTGAACCCGTGCCACGAAGAAAAGCCCAGGAGCCTGCACTCGCACCAGTCGTAGACTCAGGAAGCTTTACCTGAACAGCAGGAAGCATAGTGCTGATAACTATGCCGAGACCTGCTGCTGTGACGAGTTGGAGGGTAAGCCAAACGCTGATCGAGGTGCTGGCTTCGAGAAGTGTGCAGAGGCCTAAGCCGAGGGTTGTCAGGGAGAATCCGACAATGTGCATGGGTTTGTATCTGCCCCAGAAGCTCAGTAAGGGGCCACCGACTGCTGCTAGAACGACGACGACGAGGGTTGTGGGCATGACTTCTACACCCGATTGTGTAGGCGAGGAGCCCTTGACGGCTTGGAAAAAGGGTGGGAGGTAGAATTGGAAGCCGTAGGTTATGAAGCCGTGCATGGTGGTGAGTGCAAAGGCGATGTTGGTGGTGCGGTTCGAGAAGATATGGGGTGGCATAATGGGGTATTTGCAGTAGGAGCAGCGTTCCCAGAAGCCGAATCCTACCAGCCCAAGGACACCAAATATCATTGGAACGACCACGGAGGAGTGAGACCAAGGTCTTGGTGCGCCGCCTGTGCTGAGTGCGACGAGTAGCATGAGGACGGAGCCAGTGAGCATGCCGCTTCCCACGTAGTCGACCTTCTTCAATTCCTCCTTGACGGATACTTCGGCAGTGTCAATACCACCACCGACATTTAACCATAGCCAGATTACCACCAAGGAGATGGCGCAAACCGGTATGTTTATGAGAAAACACCATCTCCAGCCGTGCTCTGCGAAAACACCTCCAAGGAGCGGACCGAGAGTGGTGCCAATAGCGAAAGTAACGTGTTTGATAGCCAAGTACGGGCCTCTCTTTCTCAGGGGGACAATGTCACAGAGAATCATCTCAGCGAATAGATCGATGCCGCCCGTTCCCAGGCCTTGGACGATTCGTCCAGCAATCAGTACAGCGCCATTATGCGCACCACCACAGATTGCAGAACCGACAGCAAAGACGGCCACAGCAGCCATCATAGGCATTTTCCTTCCCCACATATCTCCAAACTGGGAGTATAGGGGTTGTAAAATGGTGCTTGCGAGCAGGAAGGCAGTTGCAACCCAGGAGAATTTGGTGCCGAGATCCAACGCTTCAGAGATGGTCGGAAGCGCGGTATTGGTCACGCTTCCCTCGAGCGCAGAGAGGAGAAGCGGAAGGCATATTGCGACGAAAGAGCGCCAAAAGCCCTCGGATCGTTTCCACTTGGCGGAAGGGGTCTGAGAGGGGAGGGAAGGAGGTAGTGTAGGGCGGCTGAGGCGCCGGGAAAGGCTATTCCTGTTGCAACCATTGTTGAAGGTTTGGTGTACTTTAGAAAGCGGATCGGATCCCAATTCTTCTTCAATAATGGAAAAGTCGACTTTGCGCTCCGCCGTTGTAGTAGTTATGGTTGTTGTGGAAGATGAAGAAGACATTATTAAAAATTAATTGAAGTTACCGCAATATTCTTGCGGTGAACTGAAGAGTGAGGATAGGGAAGAGAGCAGGCAACAACTTTTCTTCACAGCTGCTGCTCAGCAAAAATTCTTCCAGACTTAGGGTGTGGTACCGCGTCCACGTTGCTTCCAGCCCAACACACAGTTTGCTCTCAAAACCTCGTTGCACTGATCCTGTTTTATAGACACCTTTGACATTACTTAGCTCAACATATCCACTCTATCCATACAACAAACAAAGGATTGTTAAGAGATTATTGCATTACGAGTGTGTCGTCGTGTTTCCACAGGATGCAGGTACGGTACCGCGGTAGAGAAGATTCTTTGCGTCCAATTCAAATATGGATAGCGAATGGAACCGCACACAACTCAAAGACCCTGACAGATCTGGCTGTAGGGACACGTAATTTAGAGTACCTCTTCCTGTTCCAATCATTGTTGTGGATCATGCCGGACATGTGTAGCTAGACGGTAGTGGACTCGTCTCTTCTATCATCCTTTGATCGTTTGATTGGATCACCGAAGTTACATTCAGCTCTCGTCCTGCGCGCGCTCCGAGTATTGTCTCGTGCCGTTACGGGGCCAGAGGCAATGATGACATACTGAAGATATTATCGGCAGTTCAAGATCCTCTCGTCGTACTCCAAGACCATGGCCTTTGCTGTTGCCAAAACACCGATCTTATCGTGTGGCAGACAGTGCGCTTTATCGAAATCGAAGTGATGCTGGGTTGCGACGATGTGCCGTATCATATGCAGGTACTTTCGTTCGCCATACCGCATCGAATATGGCGAAGGCCCTGAACCGGTGTACGAAACCAAGAAAGAAGCGCCAGTCGAACGGGACAGATCGGCGGTACCAGACTTCCAGCAGGGTTTCCACTTAGTCGTTCATTTCCGTTCCTGAGCGAGACGCCTACACTGCGCTGCAGAGAGCGATTGCTGCAAGCTAGACGGTTCAAAGCATCGATCCAAATCTCCCTCACCTCGCGCCCGGATCCACAAGTTCAAATCCCGGTAACTGCATCCTGACCAACCTCGGACAACTCCTTAGCAACAAACTCGCAATCCGCGTACTATCACTCCCATCCCTCACCTCTTCATACCACCTCTCCCAATCTCCCTTGTTCACATAGGTTTCAACGTTCCACCTGATAATTCCCTCCAGCTCCCCTTCCTTCAACTCCTCCTGTCTCACGTGCTTAGGCCACGGATCCAGATTCCCTCCATAAGCGTGATGCACAGCGAAGGAACGGACGGCTTCGCGGTGGGGAGGTGAGGTCCAGAATAAGAGGGCCAGGGGACGTAAGTACTTGAAGTCGTCGCCGAGGAGGGTAATGTGTGTGTAAAGGTGAGCGGTTGCGAGGCGGTTTATGGAGCGCGAGACGAGGCAGAGGGAGTGCAGAGTGGTCCGGTCTGGGGTAAGATGGAACATCAGATCGAGGAGCTCGTTGGGCAGGGATTCGAGTTTGGAAGTCATAGTTGCGGTCTGACAGATGCTACTGTGCGCGCAGATCACAATGATAATAATGATGATGACGATGAATGCTACGTAGGTGGCAAGAAGCTGATGATAGGAATCGCGCGTGAGCTATGTAATAGTGTCTAGGGATGCAAGCAGAGGAAACAAAAGAGAACGCGGAATGAATACGCGCGCGATGTACATATCGATGAGCACTGGTGTGGGGCTATAGACATGTTCCATGTCATGGAGCATAAGCCAAGACAAGGGTCCATTCAGGTACGATGCACGGCAGTTGCGATGTCGCGATAATCCTCGGATGTATGAATCGTCCTTACCCCGCCCCCGCCATCACTAAGGCCTACATCGATTACAGCACAAGGCGCACGAAGAGACTAAAGAATCACGAAGAAAGCAGTGTTGTTCATGAAATCTATTTCGTCAAGACAGTAATCTATGTCACAGTTTCCGGGGATTGCTATCTGCTATCACGTCTACTTGAACTCCTTCATGAACTCCTCGTGGAACTTGACGATACGGCCAGTCCAGTCCGTTCCAGGAGCGAGGAAAGTTGTCCTGAAATGCAGTGTGCCTTCCTTCTGTCCGAATCCTGTACCGGCAACGACGCAGACACCAGTGGCGTCCAACATGCGGAAGCAGTAGAACTCATCCGGCGCGCGACCTTCCTTCTTGGCTTGTTGTACAGCCTTCTCTGGGAGGTGGATGGTAGGGAAAAGGTACATGGAGCCCTGTTGATAAGATTAGCTGTGTTGTGTGTGGCAGACCGTGGGATACGCACCTGTGGCTCATTGCACTCGACACCCTCCATCTGCTTGAATGCCTCATACAAGGCATAGGCGCGCTTCTTCAGTCCGTTGAAGATGCCATCGTATTCCTGCTTGTACAGCTCATAGCTTGGCTCGCCCTCCTTTGGTGGGTTGACCATCATCTCCACGATACATTGACCCAACACGGGTGGGCACAGCTGGATAGAGATGAACTTGTAGACTTCCTGCGCAACCTCTGGGTCGAAGCCGATAAGCTCAAAGTAACCACCTCGGTGACCGCACTCGCCAACCATGCCCTTGGACACCGAGTGCAGAGAAGCGAGCTCGAGGTGGTCGTACTGGCCTGGAGATTCCTTTTGCAAGTCGCGAAGAGCCTTCTTGAAAGAGATGAACTCGCCGATGAAGACGTTGGTCTGGTAGACCTCGTCTGCGATTACGACGAGACCCTTCTCGGCGGCAAACTTGAGCACGGCCTTGATGTCTTCAGCGGGCAGTGATGCTCCAGTGGGGTTACCTGGGTTGATAACGCAGATGGCCTTGACATCTGTGCCCTCCTTAACAGCCTGCTCGTAAGCAGTCGCAATCGAGTCAAGTGATGTGCCCCATGCTTGGTCTTCATTGAGATAGTATGGTACGCAGCGAGCGTCGAGGACGGAAAGGGTCGCGGTGTAGAGCGGGTACTGTGGGATTGGGACCATGATACCGGTCTCGGGCTTCGCGCAGATGGTGTGGAGGAGAGTGTTGACGCCTGACGAGGCGCCGTTGCTGAGGTAGATATCCTCGAACTTGGCCGGGTAGCCATCGCGTCCTGTTTTCGGTCAGCCGAGTTCAAATATGAATACAGTAGGATGCGCACGCTCGATGTACTCTGCAACGCTCTGCCTGATGCCTGGTGCACCCTGACTCTGACTGTATGCGCCAACGCTCTTGACCTCCTTGAGCAGCTTCCTCGCGCGCTCAAGCACGTCCGACTTGTATCCAAGGCTCTTGAGCAGAACGTCCTCGTGCTCCAACAGGCCAGGGTTCTCGAGTATACTCGCGACCTGCCTGAAGAATGTGATGGGCTTTTGGTCTAGCTGCTGTGGGTTTCCAATGTTGGCCGCGATGACCGTGTCGAAAGGAAGGTCCTTGCCCTCGCCTTTTGCCAACTGGGCGCGGTACTCCTCCGACTTGACGGCTAGTTCACCACGGACGGCATACTTGGCTGCCTTGACGTGTGGGTTGATGTTGCCAATCTGCAACACCTTCTGCGGTGCCTTGGACATGATGTTTCGACTCTGTGGAAGATGCGACGGCGGAATATGAGTTTGGACCGGTAAGCGTCCAGCGAGGAATGGTGATAGGGTTTGAGGGGTGGAAGAGGTGAATGGTCTATAGAGGACTAAAGTGGTGAGCACACGTCCAGACTATAACTTAGCTCAGGCGAAAAGTATATCTCTCAGCGCTACTCAATCCCGCGACGTACTCGAAACACGTAGAAGATGTGCGTCAATGGCTGGTCTATATTTTTTATGCTGCGTCGCGTGGTGCCCCACTACTTGTAGAGCAGAGCCACTACGAGGCTGCCCCTCCATAGCTCGGCGCGTTGCGGATGTGCCATTCTCTTACTCTACTCGTCGGGCATATAAAAAGAGCAGCGGGATTTAAGTACCTCTAGAGCCCACGCTGCTACCAATTCGGCCATTTGCCATGGTTTGAGGGCGAAGTGAACGGGCACACACCCGAGCCGATGACGGCGACATGTTGATGGACCCTGATAGATGCTTATCGGCGGCTGCTTGAGGCGATGACCCCACCCTAGCGGGCGCTCAACCGACTGCTTGGGTTGGAGCTTGTTACGAGCGATGTAATGTAAGCGTGGGTGCAGGAGTGGTATTCGAGGACCTGAAAAACCGCGTGGGCTTGTCGCGAGGTTAAAAGGAATATTGCTTTTGCGTTATCTCACCGCAGGTTCATGACACTCTGGTTGAGCCGCAACCCCCGGAGATATCGGAGCTAGCCCTGGAGAGCCGTATCGCGAATATGGCAATGCGACGCGGGGAAGCTGAAACAGGACAGGCGCGGACAAGTCATGGTATGCTTTTCATTCAGCGGTCTTTGCGCTGTTGTCTAAGTCTACAATGCCCTCAAGATCATTACACATGCACTCGTCATGGCTGAATCTAGCCACGCTCACTGCCCCTCAGCCTAACGGCCTGGCCGTACTTCTGTAGCTTGGTGATAAGCTGGTCACCCTGCTTGACCACGTCGGCATACTGCTTGTTCTTGTCATCGGGTCGGTTTGTCTCGATGATGCCCTTGACGCGGTCGATGGTGCAGGGTATGCGGTCGGCAGCGATGAATCGGGCGAGGTCCCTGTTTGCTGTTAGTAAATAATACTAGGTTGTAGGCGTGGGATGCCACTTACTTATCGAGGAAGTCAACCGTGACACCAAAGTCCTTAGCCATGCTCTCGAGGCCGACAACTCTGTATGACTGGAGAAGCTGCTGGTATCCCCGCAGGCGCATCTCACGCACGTACCAGCCACGGTGCTCGTACATGTAACGGTCCTGGCTGAGGAAGTTGGTCTCTACTTCACCAAGAGCGCCGAAGAAGGTCTTGTAGTCGCCCTCGTACAGGCTCTTGACAAGCTTCGACAGCGGTGTGAAGTCGACAGGTACTTCCTTCTCCTGTTGTCCGCCGAGGGTGGTGAGATTGACAAGGGTGGGTACTGGTGTCGCTGTTGAGCCTGACGCATCGCCCATCTCTTCGTCACCAGCTGTTGGTCCTGCCGATGCCTGACCAGTGATTGCCGAGAGCTTCTCTTCTGAAGTTCCAACGATAGCCTTGATCTCAGGCGCATCCACGACCTTGGACTTGAAGTCGACACGCTTGAGCGATACAGAGCCGGCGAGGATAGCGTAAACGACGAGGTTTGAGTAGCTGCACAACTCGTAACTGGTGAATGTCGACAAGCTGTCAAGGAGCAACGGGGCGGCCTGTGAGTGTGATCGCACGGTGAGGTAGTGTAGACCAGTGTATGCCTTCAAGCGGTTGCGACGATCCCAGTCACCACCACTCTCTACCAATGCGCTTGCCCGGTCAATCGACTTCTTGGCCAGTATCCTGTCGCCGAAGAAGAGCGCAACGCGTATTATGGCAAGAACGAGGTCGATCTTGGTGCCTAGGATGCCCGTCTTCTCGAAGATGGCCTCGTAGCTGGCAATGGCTTTGTCCTGAATCTTGGTTAGATGTCATTCATGTGACCACATCCACTTCTCTTCATACCTTGTCGCCTATGCGGTTGTAGAGCTCTGCGCGCTTGCCCCTCGCCGCTTGTACTTCGGTCTCGCCTGCCTTCTCTTCGGCCTCTTCCTCCTCCTTCTGTATCGCCTCCAGCTCCTTCTCGCTCTCTGCTTTGAGGCTCTCGTACAGCTTCTCGTCCCACGATAGCGGCACTTCTAATGAGGGATTCCGTGTGGCAAGCATAGTCGCTAAGCTTGCAGACGGTCTCCGGTTCTTGGTTGGCTGGTCTGAGCTGCCCTCGCCCTGTGCATTCAAGACACCCTCTACCGGGTGAGCCAAGTACCGGTAGAGCGGCGCCATCTTGTTCTCGGTGATGGCATCTTGGACCGACTTGAGGGCGGATTGCTTGGCTTGTTTGGAGGCGGCGGGATTGGTGAGCTGGAAGATGTGCTGCGACAGCTGGAGGTCAGGGTACTTGGCGAATTGCGGGTCACCCATCTTGGACGCTTCTTTGAGATGTGAGGGGGCGTTCGGTGGTGGGTGAAGGTGGGCAGGGCGTGTCGTGTGCGATGTTGATATGATGATGATGGAGGCTCTGTCCGCCGCTCGACTTCCGACGTAAAGCTCGCGCACGGCCCTTGGGCGGTCGACCAGCGGAAACTAGAACCACTGAAGCTACGCAGAGTCGCTCATTTCACCTTCTCACTCTCTTTCCACATCATACGAGGTTTCAAGATTCGATCTTGACACAAAATCGATTCCTGCACGCCCATCGCATTACTACAAAGACTACCGACGTGCATCAAACGCGTCTCACTTCGAGGCTGGCCTTCAGACGCGTACTACAATAGTTTCCAGCATGGCGAGCAACGACCAAGGCAGAAAGCGCGCGCGCTCACCCTCGAGATCGCCGTCACGATCACCACCCCGCCAGCGAAAGCGCCCTGGGGCGGGTGCCCGAGTATCAGCCGCGGACCGCGAAGCCGCCCGAAAGCGTGCGCAAGCGAGAGAAGAAGAAGCGGCTAGGAGGGCACAGCAGGAGGCCGCACAGAGAGGTGTCCACGACGTCGTCAAACAACATTACAACTCGGTCCCGGAGCGAGGTCGTGAATGGCGCAACACAGACAGCAAGATCAAGGGACTGCGCAGCTTCAACAACTGGGTCAAGTCGTCCATCATCCAGAAGTTCATTGGCGACGAGCGGAATCTCAAGATCCTTGATGTCGGGTGTGGAAAGGGTGGTGATCTGGGCAAGTGGGAGAAGTCGAGGAAGGTAGAGCTGTATGTTGGATGCGATCCCGCAGACGTTTCGATCAAACAGGCCAAAGACAGATTTGCCCAGATGCAGAAGAAGAACCGGCGACTGTTTCATGGCGAGTTCTATGCCAAAGACTGCTTCGGGGAGTGGTTGGGCGACATACCCATCATCAAGGAAGTCGGCATTGATCCGGGAGCTGGCCAGGGTAACGCCATGAGCCAGCGTTGGGGCGGTGGTGGCTGGGACATGGTCACAATGATGTTCTGCATGCACTACGCTTTCGAGAGCGAGGCCAAAGCAAGAGGCATGCTACGAAATGTCGCAGGCGCATTGAAGAAGGGAGGACGGTTCATTGGCTGCATACCCAACTCGGACGTGCTGTCGCAGAAGGTCATCGAGCATCACAAGGCCAAGGGCACAGCACCACCTGATGTAGATGGTGCCGATGACGACGATGACCGTCCGGCCTTTGCAAGCGACGACGACGACGACTGGGATCCTGAGAAGAGTCTTGACAGCCCCAAGCCCGCTGATACGGAGCACACGAACGACGACAAGTCTGGAGAGTCGAAGAATAAGGAGAAGGAGAAGGAGAAGGAGGAACAAGAAGACGGCGAGGTTGAAGATGAGGGCTTCAACTTTGGCAACAGTATCTACAGCGTCAAGTTCCCCGGCAAGACACCTCCTGATGGCGTGTTCCGTCCTCCGTATGGCTGGAAGTACTCATACTGGCTCACTGAAGCTGTAGAGGCGCCCGAGTACGTAGTTCCCTGGGAAGCTTTCCGAGCACTAGCAGAGGACTTTAATCTCGAGCTTCAGTACCGCAAGCCTTTCAGGGAGGTCTGGGAAGAGCAAAAGGATGACCCTATTCTGGGTCCCCTAAGTGAGGTCATGAAGGTCAGGGATCGCAACACTGGTCGACTACTGACTTCGGAAGAGGAGTTGGAGGCAGCAGACTTTTACCATGCATTCTGCTTCTACAAGGTTTAATCGGGCAGCATCATCGGCGTTTGGGATCTGGCAGATATGCCTAGGGTATCAAGGTGGAAAAGTCGTTTTCAACATGTAAAATATTTGGTACTCTACTAGTCAGTCGTGACGAGTCGCGACAACAATGGAACATGTGCAAGAGGCCTCTCCCTGCAATAGCTGAAGACATGATGCATTGCGACAGCCATAACTCCACGCCAAGTGCCAGCCATGCTTTATATTCACATGCTACCAGACGCATGTGCAGACGGGAAGAATTACCAAGCCCAGTCACGTTGCTCGTGACGCAGATGGATCGAGTTGCCGAGGTCGGTCGCTCTTTCCCCGGCAAACGCGATCGAGCATCAAAGCCCGAACCTCCCTGCGCTTCCGCACTGCACCATCTCCGCATTAACACACCCCATACGTTCCTTCTTCACGTCCAACTACCCCTAAACCTCATCTCCAGACCAAGCGCATCCTAGTCGGACAAGAAGGAAACAGGAAACGACGACTTGAAGCTGGACTTCTCTCCCTCGCGATATATCCTCAGCTTGTTCGTTGGAAGCAGCAAAGCCGATAAGATGGTTGCGGATGCGCTTGTCTATCACCCGACGGTGTCGCATTACCTCAAGTTCGTTGCAACGACCGGTACGCTACTTTGCCCCCCTTGTATCATTCATGTCTCGACTCAATCCCCATAACCCAATATCTGCTGACAACAACCTCCAGTCGGACGCGATAAAGTCCTCCGTACCCTCCAATACTTCTCTCGCTTCCTAGCATGGTACTTGTACCGCACGAACAAGCCCGCCTCGTCCATCGCCCCGTATGAAGCGACCAAGAAGACTTTCGGCGCGACGCGCAAGTTGATGCGCGTGGGCAAGTTTGTCGAGCACTTCCGCGCTGCGGCTGTGGCCAGTGATGCGAAGACTATGGACCCCGTGTTGAGGTTTACCGCCGTGGGAAGGCAGCTAGGATATGCGTTCTACATGCTGTGTGATAATGCTTGTGTGGTATGTGATGCTCATATATTTGCGCGACGTCATTAGGAGATAAGGAAACTAACAGGTCCCCAGCTCGACGCAACATCCATCCGCAAATCCTCCTTCGCCCCACGTCTCCTCCGCGAAGGCTACCGTGCCTGGTTCGCCGGAATCTCCTTTTCCATTGCCTCCGGCCTGTACTCGTACTACAACCTGCTCCAGCACTCCAAGACTATTACTTCTTCGTCTGACCCGGAGAAGGTAGTTGAGACAAAGAAGCTGCAGAAGGAGCTTAACGCTGTGAAGGTGCAGTTGATTAGTGATCTCTGCGATATCACTATTCCTAGCTCGGCGCTGGGCTGGGTTGACTTGGATGATGGAATTGTGGGATTGGCGGGTACGACAAGTTCGCTACTGGGGGTTTGGAGTCAGTGGAGGAAGACTGCTTAGATGGGATGGTGAGAGAGAGGGGTGTGTAATTAAGGACTTGGAGAGATTGAAAGAATGGGATGTATAGGATACCGAACGTTGTTCTTGTCACTCGATTTATCTTTGTTCAATACTCCGATCATCTGTACGTTGCTATTATTCGAAACATGTGCGTTCCTCTCACCATGTCTCCTTCCCTCCGTTCGCCGTTTATTGCTTGCATGTCGTCGGCTTGAGACTCTTTTTTTAGCATTCGTAAGCTTTAGGTCTAATTTCGCATATTCCTCTTCCAATATCAGACGCTAAATGCCTCACAATATTTGTCACAGATTTAGTGGGAGGGCTCTGTGGCGGCTGAAATCTAGACAACATGCATAGATGCGAGCAGTATGTGCATCATAGACCTAAGCGGCAGTAGAGAACTGGCGTAGGAACAGTGAACTGAGTCAAGTTTCATTGTCCTCATCATACTCGTATTTTGGTACCTCAGCCGTAGAGACTCTGTACTCCCTAGCAGTTCTGGCAGCCATGGCAGACCTATTTGTTGTGGTCGCTATGATAGCCGTTTTGAGAAAACTTGATATGATCGACACGTATGTACAAAGTACTGCATTGAGAAGAGATGCAACAAAGCAAAGAGAGCTGGTTATAGGAAAGCAGGAGTGAAAGTTTGATCCACGGTCTTTTTTGGAAAAACTTGCCTGATTATTAGGGAGTTTGATAGTGGGATGAAGTGGAACTACATGAAATTGTGGAGAAGATGTTGAACGTGCATGTATATGTGCAATTACCCGACCATGACCCCTCCTACAGTAACAACGGCTTATGTGCACATTCAGCTTCTTCCCCACAGACCCCGCCCGACAGACAGAATCAAACATGCTACCACCGAGAACAACGTAAGATCTACAAGGCCTCTAAATCGCTCATTAAGTAGTGCTCGTGCGATCAGACATCATTTCCAACATACTTTGACACTACGACTGGACCACAATGTATACCTTTCTGTAACTCCTCCGCAGGTTTATCAGAGATACTCCGAGAAGGAATACTCACCTCGAAAGATACATACTGTTTGGAAACAGCATACTGCTGCTGCTGCGTTTATCGTGACCAGGGTGTACAAGGTGACAGCCGCGGAAGATAGACCATTCTTGGCGCTAGAAACCGAAGGATCAATCAACCCTGCAAATATGCAGTACAAACCGCAATGCTGACATTTATGGGGAATCAACTGCAAGGATTGTTCACTGTTCCTTAAAACCCCGCATGGACAGTATGTGTGAAGTAGCAACAACACAACCTTTGGCCAGTAAGGAAGTGCAATAAGGCCAACATGGACATCGACAAAACGTTCCTGACCCAGACATCCATAGGACTGGTGTTGATTTATACCATCGTTTCCATCATACGCTTCTCACTACGCTCCCTTCCGCCAAAATACTACCCTCCAGGACCGCCCTGCCTCCCTCTGATCGGAAACGTGCACCACTTCGCCTCCGACAAGCTCCACGTCAAGTTCTCCGAATGGCGTCAAACCTATGGCGACATCGTCGGGCTAAAAGCGGGTCCCTTAAACCTCGTCGTTCTCAACAGTGCTGAGGTCGTTCGTGAGCTGCTCGAGAAGCGAGGCAACATTTACTCTGGCCGACCTACTGACTATATCTTCCGAGAACACATTGTTCAGGACACGCAACACATTCTTTTCTTGCAGAATGACGCTTATTTGAAAAGATATCGGTCGGCGGTTAGATCGTTGCTCGGTCCTGCAGGATGCGAGCAAGCCCTGCCATTGCAGAATGCAGCAGGAGCGTATTTCGCCTATAGGCTTATCATGTCACCTGAGAAGTGGGAAGATCATCTTCACAACTGGGCCATGGGCACACCGTTGACAGCAATCTGCGGCCATCGAGGAGCACAGAAGGACAAAGATCTCATCAAGCTGTTCTATGACAACCAGAAAAACTGGCTGGAGCTGCTGAACCCCGGATCCGCCCCTCCAATCAACATGTTCCCCATCCTCAAGTACGTACCGGCTTTCCTGGCTAAATGGAAGGGTCAAGCCACAGAGCTGCGCAAGAATCAACAGTACTTCTACAAGATCATGTTGGACTCGGCTAAAGAGGAATTGAAGCTCCACGAGGCGGGTCAGAATGCTAAGCCAAAGGACTTTCTGTCTCTGATGGCGAGGCTGCTTCAGGAGCAGGACAGTAAGACTGGTTTCGACGACCACCAGCTCGCATATCTAGGCGGAGGCCTCTACGACGCAGCTGTCGATACCACGTATCTCACTTCCTTGCACTTCATCAAGGTCCTAGGCGCTTATCCCAAGATCTTGAAGCGTGCACAAGCCGAAGTAGATGATGTTTGCGAGGCAGGCAAGCCGCCTCGTGCGCAAGATCTGGACAAGTTGCCATACTTAAAGGCGTGTTTCTTCGAGGTAGGTCCTCTGTTCTTCAAGCTGTTCGTACAACTACTAAACGCAAGCAGGTTCTTCGCTGGCGCCCAGTGGCCACCGTCAACCTCCCTCACACCCTCGATGCAGACGATATCTTCCGCGGCTACCATATTCCCAAGGGCACGACCATCCTCCAGAACATCTGGGTTGATTCGCACGACCCAAACCTCTTCTCCTCACCCGACACTTTCAATCCCGACCGCTACCTCGCAAACCCTTACGGCACCGATCTTTCGGTCGAGGAATGCCAGGCAGAAGGTCGGAAACTGATTTATGCATTTGGTAGTGGCCGTCGCCAGTGTCCTGGTAATCTGTTTGCACAGAATGGGTTCTTGGCTATGGCGGCTAAGCTTGTCTGGGCTTTTGATGTGAGAGCGAAAGGGGAGCTGGACATGAGTGTCGAGACGGGGTTTCATGGTGGACTGTTGTTGGGTAGCGAGCCTTTTGCGGTGGAGTTTGTTCCGAGGAGTGAGATGCATCGTCAGGCTGTTATTGAAGACTGTGAGAAGACACGGTCGTGGCTTGATTGAGGCTATCAGCATGGAGAACAATGTCTCGAGCAAAGAACGTTAATAAAGATGAATCATCATCTTGATGGGGCGTGGTGTTCATTTATCAGCTACTTGCGCCATGAAAGTCCATCCACTAGCTGTAAACCCTTTACGCACATACAGATACACGCTTGCTCGCACCGCCAACGCTTATAGCCCCTTATCGGCGGCTCACGACGCAACGTTCCGTGATTCCATTCTGCCATCGCCTCCTCCTTCTCCCACCTCTCGTATGCCTCCTCGATCAAGCCGTTACACACGATCTGCGCAAGGCGCGGGCGCAAGTGCCGTTCCTGAGTCTCTGCCGCCACGAGTGCATCGACAGCTGCTGGTGTGGCTCCAGTACGGGCATTCAGACAGTTGATGGCGCTGGTGTCGATACTCCGACTATTTCATCAGAGCCTCTGGTGTGATGCTGACGAGAGGAAAGACGTCTCTGGGGAGTCTGACTTGTATAACATATAGAAGTGGAACGGTGTTTAGTGCTTGGACGTGCGCCCCCCATCCCTTGATAACACAATTACACTCTTTTCGAGTTAACCTCCGAGTAGGTTGCATTCATGATGAGATGAGTTTGCCGGCATCCCGTTGAGTCGCAATACGGTGTTCAGCTCAGTATCGAGAATCGTATGTGTATCCATTTTGAGATCGCGTGTGAGCTGCCTGTATGAATGTTGACTGGCATGTGTATATCCGACAACATGAGAGCAGGACTGTTAATAACATTATGGCCAGGCTTACTGGGCATGGAAGTTCCGTGATTAGACCAGGCTTCGTCGCTGCTTTGGAGCTGCGAATTATTTAGACGTCGTGTTTTTAATATCTCTCGGATACTTGGCGGCTGTACTACAAGGGATGAGGTGAGAAACGTCCTTTCAGCACAGGCTGATGACGCAGAAACCGACGTCCTGCCGTAATTGCTCCGGCTTTGCTCTAGATCTTGGGGTAGAAGATAAGATCGACTTGGGTGACCATGATAAGCCCGAATGTGGAAAGGCCAAGGTCAAAACCCAGCGCGAACCTTGGCTTCATTTACTCATATGTTCTCTAAGCAGCCGCATGTGGGACCTTACCACCGGAACGTTTATCGTCCGACTAAACGGGTGCACTGGCAGCGGCCACGAGTCGCGTGTTTCTCCCAGTTCCGTCGTCACGCAAGGTGAACCTGCTCTTGGGTCATACAGTGGATATTCAGGAGGGGTTCAAGAACAGTGTCGGAGAACCATCTGTTCAAGGTAACGCTCTGACGGCCCGAGTCCTAGTGGAAACCATCTGGCAAAAGGCTACTCATCATGATGCAGGATCAATATCGAGACCTTTTGAATGGGTATGTACAGTATAGTATGTTATAGATGTATGTGGAAGCGATCCCATAGAGAAGCGACATATTCGAGCTCGACTGAGCCTGGCAATCTCGGTTCGCCGTTGGACGCATCAGTGACATCCATGAAGTGGGCAGCCAGCGGGAACGGGAACCGCCTGAAGAGCCATGTTGAGTTTCTAACCGTTGAGGATAGCCACCGGATCTTTTTGGGAACCAGGGTCCGGGTCAGTGTGGATCAAACGGTCAACTAATGACTGGAATGACTGGGGCGCTTGACTGCATTTGCAATCAAATCTACAGATCTTCCCTCCGACAAAGGTAAATTGGCCGTCGCACAACGCTCGATTTGAATTCCTGATGCACCCAAAACGTAACCGTTTTGTTTAGTGACGAAACCAAGCCTTTCGTGTGATGTACGCGAAGTGGTCAAGGCGTGCGCAAACGAGTTGGTTCCCACGAGTGGTGGGAGTTGTAGATGCAGTAGGTTTTCCGTCCTTCCCCAACCAGACTCTCACCCTAAAAACAACCCCGGTAATGTGAGCATGTGCAGTAGTGAGAGTGATACTGCGTTTGTGGTATGGCCTCGAACGATGGCGCGCGTGATTCCACGCTTACTGTGTACACCCTGTTGTGATTGAAGCGTTAATTCTCTTCCTCATCTTTGTAGCGATAAGAAAGCAATTATGCC